TACCTCACTTCACCTACTACTGTCTCATGTCAGCACCAAAAGCACTTGAGTTAATTTAGGAAAATTCCACAAATCTGTTGAGTCAAAAAAAAAAAAAAAAATTAAAAAATTGTCTATGTAATTGAACCTTAGGATCATAGGATAGTTCAGTTTGGAGGGGACATCAGGAGATTACTAGTCCCACCTTCTGCTCAAAGTAGGGTCAGCTATGACCCTTATTTACTTCAACCAGAATACATAGACTTTCCTACTACATCTGCATAAGGATGACCGTGGCTATGCCTTGATGGGTAAATTAAACAGCCCCAGGGAGTGTTAGCTGTCACCAAGAAAAAGTGGCACAGACTGGCCAACTCCATTCTTCTAAACTACTTTTGCTTCCAAAACTAGGCGGTTGCATTCAAATTGCCCACTGGAAATGATCTTTGTCACATGCAACCTCCTGAACCTGGAGACAGGTTGTGAGAGAGCTAGTTGGCCAGGAAAAAACATTCTGGGGATGTTTTAAATATCTCAAAGCATAGACAGAACCTTGCACAGTTAAACTGGTCAGCACAGATGTAGCCAGTGTGTCACCGTCTGAACCCGCAAGGTGTGAATTCCAGGGCATTCAGAATTTTGGCAGCTACAGAAAAGGTTGAAAAGCAGATTTCTGACTTCTGGCTCACCTTTACATGCAAATAGGAAAGCCTCTGATTAACAGCACAAAAATCAAATACCCGTCAAAGAATGCTGGCCAGAAGGAAATGCCAGGATCCAATTAGAATCAATTAAATTTTTATCACTGACTTAACTGAAATGAGATATGGTATGAATAGCATCAGTCACAGTTGCCTCAGCCTGGATAAGATATCAGACAGCTTGTGAGGTAAACAGGGCTGCTTTATGGATCATCAATAATCCAGCTTCATGCATGCCCTTTATCAAAGTGTTTGTAGAGAGCCTGTAAAACAGTTGAAACAAATATTTTTTTTTTTTTTTTTTTTAATTAGAAGCTTCAATGATAGTTGAATAAATTTGAAAGGCAGAAGAACTAAAAGATGTGGAATGCCTGAGCTTATGCAAAATGAACACTTCATTTTTTCACTAATGCATGTTATTATTTATGAGAAGCTTTTTTTCTGAATAGATGACAACTACCCCTCTTGATGAAAATGATCCAGTGTTCTGTGTTTCAAAGTTTTTAATTGTTTTTTTCCTATAGAAGTATGTAAACAAGACTCTTAAAGTATGTTATAGTCTGGCTGTTAGGGAGATTGATTTGATCATTGTGAAGTTCCATTCTCTTCAAAATTCAGAAATTGGTTTCACCCCACATAACTCTAAATTTAAAAGAAAAATAATACATCCATGGCTTTTTACATACTAATCATTCACCTCACTTTTAAACTACAACCATTTATTCTTTATTCAATTTAAAACCTTACAAAAAAAGTTTAATGAAAACTAATGTCTCCACAAACAGGTTCCCAACAACTCTGCTCTCAGTCTTGTGTTGCAAATAATAAAGCGATGGGAGCAGGACCAGATTGCTGTTCTGCTTTGATTCATGTTCTGGACAGGGTCTGTTTAAATATATCTCAGACTGCCTGTGGCTCGATTCAATCAGGTCCCCTCATGTAATTAGTTTCCTACCTATCAACAAAAGAGTACACTGCTGTGAAGGGCGAGAAAGAGGAGGATGTGAAGATGGGGGCCCTGCAGGTGCACCAGCACTGCAGCAGATAGATAGAAAAACAGAACAGCCTTCAGTCAAAGGATGCAGGCAGGTAGCCAAATCCACATTGACTGTAGATGAAGAGCTGAGATCAAATATCACCTGAGCAGCACACAGGAAGAAGTTGCTGGGAGGTTGTGAAAGACAGCAGATGAGGCAAGGGAGATGACAGGACCTTGATCAGGGTCTGCAGGGTCATGCAGGAGTGGGTGTGGACAGCACAGCTATATGAAGTTTTGGACAAATGCAGAAGTCCTATGTGGCTGATTGAGGCTGACAAAGCCTTTTCAGGCCATCATCACATTTTTATTATAAAGGAAAAGGTAAAATTCAGCAATCCTTAGTGAACACTCTGGAAACACAGGGATTGCACCATCATTTATACCTGATCTCTCCAATAAGATCTTTGTGTGTTAGTTCTCATATAGGGTACGAATACAAGACCATAATTTATTTAACCAGTATTTAACATAACAGAAGAGAATATAATAGAACAGAATAGAATAGTTCAGTTGGAAGAAACCTACAAGGATCATCTAGTCCAACTGCCTGACCACTTCAGGGCTGACCAAAAGTTAAAGCATGTTGTTAAGGGCTTTGTCCAAATGCCTCTTAAACACTGACAGGCTTGGGGCATCGACCTCCTCTCCAGGAAGCCTGTTCCAGTGTTTGACCACCCTCTTGGTAAAGAAATGCTTCCTAATATCCAGTCTAAATCTCCCCTGGCACAGCTTTGAACCATTCCCACGCGTCCTAGCACTGGGTACCAGGGAGAAGAGCTCAGCACCTCCCTCCCCACTTCCCCTCCTCAGGAAGCTGCAGAGAGCAATGAGGTCGCCCCTCAGCCTCCTTTTCTCCAAAATAGACAAAACCAGAGCCCTTAGCTGCTTCTCATAGGACTTTCCTTCCAGCCTTTTCACCAGCTTGGTTGCCCTCCTCTGGAGACAGTCAATGACCTTCGCATCCTTCTTAAATTGTGGGGCCCAGGACTGCACACAGTACTCAAGGTGAGGCCGCACCAATGCTGAAGAGGGACAATCCTCTCTTTTGACCGGCTGGTTATACTGTGTTCGATACACCTCAGGATGTGGGTTAAATTCCATGCCATTGATGATCACCCAATGCTAGTATTTGTCCAATGTGAAATACTAATATTTATTAGCAATTAAATACTATGGTACTTAAAATCTGAATTGGTCTAATAGAGTGCGTGTATATATGTATATACATAGAGAGATTGCATAAATATATGCTATTAGACCATTTCATTAAACTTGAGGTCCTTTTATTGTGTGCATTTTTCAATGAAAAGCTTTTTGCTCAATTATTCCTCTGGATCTAATTAGCTTTTTATTTCCAGATAAGGAAATCAGACATAAAATGAGAAATAATTATCTTAGTCTGAGCAAAAGAAAAAGGCAGACTGGGGAAATGATCATGTGGGGAGTTGTGTGATAATTCCTCTGACACTTATGAGTGTTAGTTTTGATATTTTTGTAGCATATCTATAAAAATTCTTCAAAACACATTACAAATAGCAGCATTTTTACTTCTCTTAACTCTTCTCATAACATTTAAGGCAACTTCAGAGTGGAGGAGTTGTTTTCATGTCCCATCTTCCAGAGAGATGTGTGTGTTTGTTTAATTTCGATATTCTGAGCCCTCTTGCTTGAAAACTAGTAAAGAAATTTGTAAATGAAAACTATAAACTCAGAGTATCAGAACACAGAAAAATCCATTCTCAAAGCTTCTTTTTTATTATTTTATGATTAACTTTTATAAATCTCTTCTTTTTAGATATCTGAAATATGTTATCTTCCTTATGTGATGAACAGATCTTGTTGCAGGCAAACGACTGCACTGGGACTTATCACATGTATGCTTTTCTCCAAGGTTTCAGAATATACAGAAAAGGGAAATAAAGATGAATTGCTTATTTTCAATTCCTCACATTTTTATACAACTAGTTTCTCTCCATTTTAAAGCTCTTATTTCTTCACACCACACCCCCCCCAGCTGAATCGATGCCCCATTGAACCAATGGAAGGCCAAGTATTGAATGCAGTAAGCAATTTACCCTTTTCTCCTCTAAAGAGGGTCTGTCAAGGTCATGACTGAGGCATCTGAAGCAATGGTAGTTAGCTTCAGAGTTGTGAAATAGAGCTGTTTATTCTTTGCCTGCTCTGTTGTGTGATCTTGCTGTGCTGTTATTGACTTCAGAGACCGCAGAACTGGGACTCTACAGAGAAACAGCAGCCTCCTTGGTAGACCAACAGCAGCAATGTGCTTTTCCTATCCTGAACATGCTATTCAAATATTAATGAATACTAGCTCTAATAGTATTTCTGGTGTAAATAAATGTTGTCACATGGGAGGAACTGGAGAAGTGCAGTCTTTGTCATACCAACGGATACAGCTCAATGATTTTAGTTGTGAGCTTCCCACTGTGATTTGCTGGAGAATCTCAATACTGATTTGGAAGAGTCAGTCCTAGGTCTAAGACACCACTGAGGTGCCTGTGGCTATGAATGATATATCTTGCCTTGTATCAGAAGAGGAAGATGATAGTATTTTAACACAGTAAAAGTCCCTTTATAACCAATAGGTAATAAAGGCAATATTGTTCATTGAAAACATTGCTGTGACAAAGTCCTTTTTTTGAGACTGTTAACAAATACGCCCACGTGTGTTTACTTTTGAAGAGGTGAAATGGTCTTTGCCATCACACAGAATGGAAGAAACTGATTTTAGAGTCATACCGTTATCATAACAGAGCAAATGGTGTTCTGGTCAAATCTACTGAAAATAATTCACCTTTGGACAAAGAGTGACTCTGGAAAATTGCAGTCAATAACATTTTGGAAATATTAAAAATTATTCAAAAAATGTTATAGAATATAAAAGTATATAATAGTTTTTGTAATGTTGAATGGTCTTTTATAATTCCAAGCTAAAGGACTCAATGAGTCCAGACAATTGACTCAGACATCTTTTTCTTTCCTTATCTCTCTCTTTCTGTCTGACAGGAATAATAACATGTGCCACTGAACCATGCATGCAATTAAGCGCTTAATGATAATCTGGCTTTTAGAGTCATTTTATCACTACTTGTACTTTGCTACCTAGAAAGTTATCTCTTCATTTTACAGACTAAGTGGTTCTTTATAACAAATGACATCATTATATTTTACATCATATCCTTTTCTAAAAGATATGAAAAAACGTGGCATATACTTTCATGAGTCTGCTCTTGTTTGTTTGTTTGTTGTTTGTTTGTTTAAAGATATGTTAGGTCAAGAACGAAGCATGACATTGACATGAGAATAGGGATACATTCGGGATCGGTTCTGTGTGGAGTGCTGGGCCTGCGAAAGTGGCAGTTTGACGTCTGGTCATGGGACGTGGATATCGCAAACAAACTCGAGTCAGGCGGAATTCCGGGGTAAGGCAACGTGTATTTATTTCCCACAGTCGGAAAACATTGCCAACATGGTACACTGTTAACTTTGCCAATAGATTAACTGTCTTACATTATTTCATCAACTATGAACTTTTTTTTTTTTTTTTTTGGTATTGTGGGATTGGCATGGATTTGTGAGGCTATAGCCAAAAAGGGTAGAAATGGTTAGCTTGCAGAAGTATTGGAAAAGACAAAAATAGTTCTTTTCCTTTTCCAGCTATGATTTCCTGAAAAAGGTCAGTGGCTGTATTCAGCCCAAATTTCCCACTTAGATGTTGACCATTCCCGAGTTTTTCCAAGCTTCATTGTCTTGTCCTTTGCATTCAAATGCTGTTGTGAGGCACAAGGCTGTAATTTATTTTATTTCATAATGCACAAAGTGTGGGAAGAATTATGTGTTCATAGGTCGTTACACTAATAACCAGGTGTTACGGAGAGCAGGCTCTCTAGGAAGTCTTTTAAATAATTTGATGCTTTAGTAGATCTTTTGAGACATTTACGTCACCCTGTCTATATGTGAAAATATATGGTTTGCACTGAGCTGCCTAGTTTTCTTTGTCTGAGGTGGCTGATTCACCAGGAAGATAAAATGTTATTTCTGCCTGACAAGGCTTATATTTCACAATAGTTTGGAAGTTGAAAATCCTGAATTTGAATCAACAGTAGTGGTTGCAGGAATACTCTGTTCACTTTCAGTTCCACCTTCCAATGATGAAACATGTAACAAAAGATCCCCTACAACAATTCAATTTTTGGCAATGGAACACAGAAGCAATAGCAGCGAACATCTTTATGCAGAAAAAGTCTAAGTGATGCTGTCATCTTGAGTGAGACAAGTTTTAAGTCATCAAATCTGAGTCATGTGCTGTACTCCCTACACACACATCAGGATCTGTCAGAGCTGTCATGTTCCCAGGAAGTTAGAAAGCTATTATTTGCTTTATATTGCATTTGCAAATATGGGCCCATTCCACTGTTCCCCATAGTAGACCTTTATGCTAATATATATTCTTAGAATCAGCAGAAAATTAAACATTGCATGCTCTGAAAACAACTTCTATACTCTACATATGTCACCAGCGTATGAAATTGCAGAAAAAAATTTTCTTTCCCTGCTGTTTATCCCACGATAGCCCCAGATGACTAAGAAAGGTCACATGCTGCTTTGTTAACATGAGCAAATCAATTATCTAAGTTTCACCATCCGCACCTGCAAAAAGTCTAGTTTATTGCTGTTAATGCGTGCAAGTAGTACAGCTATTAATGAATAACCCAGAGAATGCAGCACCTTGCTGTAGTTGATAAAATGCCTGGCTAGGTTGCAGTCTATTGGAGCAGAGCGATTTCCACTCCTGTATATCAGTTTGCCAGCAGAACAAAGCCTGTGTGTGACAGCAATTCACTAAGTCCCTCAAAACAGTGATTTACATCAGATTTCCTAATGCGCAGAGCAGATTTAATAGAGCAGTTAAGTTCACTTCAGCCTCTCCTTACTTCTCCCTGCCACCAGCATTCAAATCCCCTCTGCTCACCACAATACCGAAATCATTCCTATTCCCAGAGCTGCCCTGCTTTCCTCTTTTTCATCAGAAAAGCTGCCCTGGGGTTATGAATGGTCCCGCTCCCACAGTGTGAAACAAGAGCAAAGATGAACCACAGCCCTTTCCTGAGCACACAGCGGAGGGAGGCAGCTCGCCTGCCTGGGATGGAGAGGATCCCTCCACCCCATCTGGGGGCAGGAGAGAAGGGGCTCAGCTCTCCTCCTCAATGGTTGCACATCACCCTGGGACCTCATAAGCGTGGGCGATGCCGGGACAGATTGCCCTCAAGTGAAGGAGTATAGGCAGGCAGCCCAGCTGCTGTGGAAGGAGGCACTCGGGAGCACTGACAAAAAGCAATCATTTCTGATTTCCTGAGAGGAAAAATATGTGTCCACATCTGCGAAGGAAACCATGCAAGATCCTGCAGTGTTATTTCAGAGACACTCTTCTGCCAGGACCCCATCTTCTAATAGTCCTCACCTGGTATACCTAGGAATCAATCTATAGCATTGAATTGGCATAAACCCTAGCTAATAATTAATTTTCCAGGATGTATCAATGACAGGTACCATCTAAAGCTTTGGGCCTGATATATTTTCAACAGTAGGATAGGCTATACTTTTTGACTTCAGTACTCAGGTTCCTGATTTACTGGTTTTGTATAAAATTAGAAAGATGTCTTTCCACTATACATTTTAAGGGTTTTTTTAAGCAAGCTGTACAAAAAGTGAAACCAGAAAATATTTTTAATCTATCAACTATTTATTAATATTTTGTCCATTTAAGGGTATTACTTCAATAGCTAGCTCCACACTCTAGTTAAAGCTGTAATTTCCATTATAAAATCCATATTTCAGGGCTTTATAATGCAGTCTTCTCAAATTATATTAGTGGATACTCAGCACAAAGATAGTCACCCTGGCAACTAATGTATCGCTTTCTTTTTCTTTCTTCTTTTTTCTTTTTTTTCTTTTCTTTTTTTTTTTTTTAATTAGTACTTCACTTGAATCAATTTAGATTATTTGGGTTTCTAAGAGCTTAAGAAATGCATTGTCGTTCTGAGACGTCATATTCTCTAGTTTTAAAATCCAGACCAAAAGTTGCTTATATTTGAGAAATATTTTTACTGGTTTTTTATTGTCAGTTTTACTGACATTTGACTGCAAAAGAGTGCTAATCTCTGCAGACATCATAATGGCATGATTTCAGACAGTGAAAGTTGTACAAAACCTGTGTTGACTTCAGAGAGAAGCTGAGAAGGTTAAAAAATGGCTGATCTTTTAATTGCATACTGATATTTAATATTCCACATAGATCTAGATTCTGCCAAATTCTGATACTCCTGGGCATTTCACACTGCTTAAAGACAACTACCACTTTATTTTCTGGCAATACATGTACATCATACATGTACTTATAGACTTATCCCATCAGTATTTTATGCAATTTAACTTGGTAGTGGCATCCTTTAAGTTCCAGAAGAAAGTTTCCAAGGGGCGTGCTAGGACCATTTCCTCAGTGGAGATAAGCCAATTTGTGGTGCCTGAGAGAAATGCCTCAGCGTGTGTCATCAAGAAATGATCGAGAATTTTAGCTGACTCTGAATTTTAGAAATCTGTGCACAAGTCTGACTTTCAGAAAGTTCTATGCATCCAAAGTTTGAAAAATGAACCAATTTTAATGGAGTCACTACATTTATTTGCTTGAGTTAGATAAATGTCTAATGAACACCTCCTCTTATTGCATTTATGATGCTGCATTATAAAGTGTAACATGACTAACCATGTGGATGTGTTTTAGAGGTGTCTCCAATCTACCCTACACATAGGAGCTTGAAGCTTTCTTAAAAACAGAAATAAGAATGACCTACTTCCTTTTTTTTTTTTTTTTTTTTTTGTACTTGAACTTCTTTCTATCCTTCTCAAGGAGTCATAATTATGGTTAGGAAAGTCCAAATGCCACACACTTCCACGTTTTGTTGGAAGACTTCCAAAGCCTTCTGATGCTTTTGCAAAATTTGAGCTTTTCATGTCATTTCTTTGATTCAACTTCATTTTTGCAAAAGCTTTTTGAACTCATCACTTTGTCTTACCAGAAATTATCACCCCACCTGCCTTTATATAGTTTCCCTATTTTCCTAATTCACTTTAGATGCAATCAGATCACTAATTCTACCTGTCTAACTGAAGGAAATGAAAGAGCTTTCACACAAACTGCTGTAATGCATACCGTATATTTTCCTCTCACCATATTTACCTGAAGTGGCAATTTTCATTCCCTCTGAACAGTATTTTACTCAGGAAGGTGTCCCATTACACTATTACTGTGAGCAAAAAGTATCAGGTGTGAATATCGTAGTGTTTTTCCTGTGACAGGACTTTGTGCGTTCATGAGATCCTATTGATGTGAACATGCCCTGAGAGTATTTGTCCCCAAATGAAGCCTCTGCTTGTTGAATAGACTATTTCATTTTCTTTGTAGCAATCAGCATATACAATAGAAAACCTTCTATTTATCCATCATGTTAAAACTGATGCAGAGTTCATAAACTCCTTCTTACCTATTTATACTAGAGCACAATCAGTATTTGCTACTACTTATTTCACTTATGCAGGAGAATTCACATCTCCAAAGCCACTCTGGACTGCCTGAACGGGGATTATAAAGTTGAAGAAGGGCATGGCAAAGAGCGTAATGAATTCTTGAGGAAACATAACATTGAGACTTATTTAATTAAACAACCTGAGGAGAGTCTGTTGACTTTGCCTGAAGATATTGTGAAAGAGGCTGTCAGCTCCTCCGACAGGAGAAACAGTGGAGCAACGTTTACCGAAGGATCCTGGAGCCCTGAACTTCCATTTGATAACATAGTGGGAAAACAGAACGTAAGTCAAACTTCCTTTAATGTCATCAAGTACGAAAGCATGCTTGAGTGCATTTCAATAATGGAAGCCTCAGAGGGGACAAATTCATCTTTAACCTTTATTCTAACATGTACTGTAACAGCAGAGGATTAAACAAATTGTTTCAGGGAAGAAATAAATTGTGTATCCAAACTGGGGAAATGTCAGGGGACCAGAGGTTTGGGGGTTTTTCCAACTGAAATTAAATACTATGCAGCTTGGTTTTAATTGAACCAGCCTATAAAGAAGCAAATTAAAAGTAAAGCTAATGTTACAGAACTAGCTGGGACATTCTAGTCAGAGCGTGTATCTCATTGCATAGCTTCATTGCACTGCTATCCAAGCAAAGGGATGAGTGAACTGATGTTTTGCCAGAGGAAAAAGCATGGTATAGGTTATTGATATATAAGGGAAAGAAAAAAGATCTACCTTAAAAAAGCACCTTGTGAAAACAGCTTGTCCATTCTTCACTTTTATTTTTTCTTTTTTAATAAAACATATTATAAACTTAGATTCTAAGACATAATTAAGGTTCACTAGCAGGTGAGTTAGACTCTAAGTTCATGCATAGCTCAAAAGAAATATGAGATAATAACAACTGCTGCTGATCAGATCTTTTCCAAAAGCACTGCATGTCTAATTGCTGGCACCCTGGGAACCAACAATTCTTGTACAGTCATAAAAATCTCTTTGTGAAGTCTGCTTGCCTAGAGGAATTAAAGATGGAAAGGTTAAAATGCCCTCAGACACCACTCTTTTCACTGCATTTGAAAGATTGATGAGTCTTTATGAAATAAGGTCAGCTGGAGTTTTCTTCCACTTTTCTGAGGGATCTGTAATGACATGATATATCCTTTCTTCTGCTGCACATCCTTAGTCCTACTTGTCTGCACTGTCTGTTGAACTTCAAGCATTGTTGTGTGGAGGTCTTGCTCTGTCAACCGTCTTCTGCTTCTTACAAATCTGCTCAGAAGTGATAAGCCTTCACAAACAATCAGCCCATGGTGGTGTCTTCATCTCTTCAAACTTAACTGGAGCATGGCATAGTTTGCTGTTATATAAAACACCTGGTTTATATACGTTCTTTACATCTGTGTATCTGCATGTACACTGCCTTTTAGTATTCTCTGTATTTTCTTGGTCTGTCTCTATATTCTCATTTCATTAGGAATAGAGGTATGGGTGCATGCTGCTGTCAATATCTTCTGATCTCTCTCTGTTTCTTCTTCTTTCCCTTTAAGACATTCCAATTTCTGTAGTCCAAACAAATCTCTGTGGAGTGGGCTATCATTTCGTTGATTTTCTAAGCTAAACTTGACCTTGATACTAACAAGGATGAGGAATGAAATAAAGGACTAGTGTTTTTATTCCATTATTGCATAACTTCCACCCAATAGACTAGTAAAAAGCCCATGAAAATCATTGATGAAGGCATAAATGAACAGTTGTTTTAAAGCAGATTTTTGTTTTATGGCAATAAGCAATCCATTTTTAGAATAGTTTCTCACTGTTTTTGTAAGAACTTGTTTTTGTGCTGAAAATAGCTATAATTTTATATTACACAGCTTTACTATAAGCTTTTTGGTGGAGACAAGATTTTTAAAATCTGCTATTGCATGTGTGATTCAATTATTATGTAATTTTCAATTTTAAAGTTGAGACAATAGGCATTACTGCTCATAAATGATGTATTTCAGCTGAAAATTCAGATGATAGATTTAAATTATACTGGGATACAGTAGCTTTATCCGGAGGTGTGTCAGTCTTGGACAGAATAAGCATTTAATAGCATTAATTATGCAGCCTAAAGGTCACTGGGAGCAGCAAATGTTGAGAATCCAAGTAGCAGCAACTCAACAATGAATCACTCCTTATGTTTGAATATTTGCCAATAGCATTTAAATGATTTCTTTACCCAATATAAGTTAAAACAAAATTTGAGCAACTCTGATCACATGTGTCTTCCTTTTCGCTGTATTTCTGTTAGGAAGAATATGAAGTGGCAGCCTCTGGTGAGTTCTCTCACCAAACTCAAATTTATCGCAATTCGTATTCTTTACCTCAAATTCATTTTCTCTGGGCAGCCTAAGTCAGTGAATCGAAGGTGTGTTGATATGACTAAGGAACAGAATAACTCTCTATGTGGGCAGTCGCTGACATTAACAAAAGCTCCATGTGTCTGCAGCACAGCTAGCATCACCCTTAGCTCTGATGGTGAGGTAAGCCAAGGACGCAAGTGCCTGCTCTGAAATTCAGGCCATGCCCAATACGGATGGGGTTTTATGTTATTGAAACAAATGTCTGGGTTAAGAGAGTGAAAGCCTCATCCTCTAAAATAAATCAATAGCAGATGAAGTTGGATTTCTTCTTCTTACTAAAGAAGTAGCTGAAAGCATAATATGGTCACTGTGTGTGGTGCTGGAGGCACCTGATGGGCCTATAATAACTAGAATTAGGAAAAAAGCATATTAATATGTCTGTGTCTTGTATAGGCATATTTTAGTGGTGGCTGCAATGACTCTTAACAGTTATCACAAAATTATACTGAAAGACTGCCAAGATGACAGACAAGTATAAACAACAGGATGGAATTCAGTTTGAAACCAAGGCACCTGCATTTGTGTATATACTGACCATCCCAGGTATCGATGTCCCACCCAGCTCAGCTCCTAAACGTAAGGGTCTAGTGCTACTTGTGGTGCTCTAGGGTGCCTGAGACATCCATATGACATGGGGCTTATAAAAGACCTGTGATCATCTGGACTGTCAGAAGCCAGGTGAGAGACTCTGATGTCTCACATAGTGCTAAACACCTGTGCTGAAACATCCTGAGTAAGAGCTTGATTCAGCTGCTTCACTGTGGCTCTCTATGGCAGTTTGACATACCCTAGCCATGCCAGCTGGTCTCCACCACCAACCAGCAGTGCATGGCGTTCCTGTAGGACTTTTGTCATATCTCCTAGATCCAGACTGCTGTCCAGGATACCTTAGGGCATCTCAGCCGACCATAGCTGCCTATGATTGTGCAACTGAAAATATCCAGAGTGTATATTGCCAGTAATAGAAGCTTAAACACCAAGCACCTAGACACCTTCATTTAGGTGTCCCTCTTGAACCAAATTCTACCTGTATCCTGTCTCTTTCAATTTGTATTTCCCTCTTTCCTTCCAAGACCTGGTGTTTGCGGTATGAAATAAATAATTTGAAGCCTTCCTATAGTATTCTAAATGCCACTAATTAAAAATTTCCCTTCTTGTTGAGATCAGGATGCTTGAAGTTGTTGCATGAAAACTTTGCGGGAAGGAAGTCAAATCTAATAACAGCTACCTTTTTTAGATCTCTATACAATATCTCTAAAGTTGGAGTTTTATTATTTGTTTGTTTCAATTCATCCTATCTTTTAGTCTCAGATGCAAGTTTGGCTGGGTTTTTTGTTGCTCTTTTTTTTGGCGTGTATGTGTTCCTGTATGATGAATGGTTATTGTCAGCATCAGGAAAGTTCAAAAGCCCATTGTAGGATTCATAACTGTATCTTCCATACAGCTGTTCACAAAAGTGTCGATGAGGTAATAGGGAGAACCAATGTTTCTTTATGTTGGCATAACACAGTCTTAAAAGATGCAGAACAAAGAGGGTGATACAGAGACAAAATGTGGTTAGAGCATATTCTTGGGACAATAATCTGCATGATATTTTTCATTATTGTTATTACTAATTACAGGGAAGCAGTTTTCTTAAGTATGTGTATGGACATGAGAGAGAGAAGACTCCACTAAACTCAAATATGAATTTCCTTGTTATCCTCTGAAAATAAATGCAACTTTAGAGTCCATTTTTGCACCAATACTACTGGCGCTGTTGCCATAGTGGTGGTATTATATCATGTTCATCTACCATGCATTGTAAACCACTTCATACATTCAGCAAGAAGACAATTCTTTGTATTAATCAATTTTTAAAATATAATTTGAAGTAAAATGTAGTCACTTACTAGGATGAATTGAGATAATTCTCCTCATGTAAATAAAACGCAGTGCCCAACTAAAACATTAGGGACCTTCTCCACCCTCACTTCCAGTGGAAATATAGCAATATGAATTAATTCTGAAGAATTAATGCACACAACAGCATCTGATGTGATCTCCTCCTTTAACAGTGACTTCAGATCCTCTTGTGTGATTTCAGCCACCACAAATTGATAATAATTTTTCCATACAGCTCAGTTTAAAAGAGACAGGAATACTTAAACTAAAGTTGTGTGTAGTTATACAGTATTTATCCAGTCAACTCAGTGGATTGTTTTCTGGGGATTCAGCTCTAACCTTAGAATTTCCACTTTAACTCCAAGGCTAAGATATAGATTCAGGAATATCTGAAAATTTAGTATGAAAAAAGTTTCCTGGATACTTCTTTTTTCTCCAAATGTTGATGATACTGATTTTCTGGAGGGAAAATGGGGAGATTTGAGCAGAGTGCTTTAACAAACCTTCTCTACTGAAGTTCTTTTTCTACTAAGGCAAACAAGAAGATTGCTTTTCACTTCAACAGACAGAAGATTTCAGTCCTCATATCTTTTTCTACCTATATATTGGGGCTCTTAAGTCACTCATCAAAAGATGGAATATGAGAAAACAAGATACTATCTGTGACTACGGAGTCCTTGGACTTTATTTTAGGATTGTAAAGAAAGTTGTCACTTGGAGTTTGACAGTGGATACCTGAGACCCTTCCTGTGTTTTAATTAGCTCTCCGAGATTCATTAGAATGTAATAGCTGACTATACTTTGAATATGAACAGCGGAAATCTCCCTGTATCATTTGCTGTAGGTAATCCCATAATCCAAAAGAATTGGCTTTCCAGAGAAATCTATTGATAAATCCACCCCAAACTCCTGTTCCCAACAATGCCCAGTATGACATATAGCAGAAGATCTTTCCAGCAAGGACCTATGGGATAACTTTTCTCAAGCAGAACTGTATTTCTCATCCATAACAACTCTGAAATGTCTTATGCTGTGATGTATGAAGGTTTATATCCTTTCCATTCATTAACATTTCTTAACCCATGGGAATATCACAGGTAGTAGTTTATTTTCCCATTCAAGTGGGAAAGTGTTGCTTCACTGTGGTTTGTGTCATGAAATGATACCATGAAACTGGATTGAGTTATTCTCGTTATGAATGCAAACTCTTACCTTTTTCCTGAAGGTGAAGCACCCTTCATCGTATCTCTGCTAGCTCTCCTTTGTGAAGCTGTGCAAAAGTCTTTTTTTTCTTTGGTTAGACAATGGAATACCAAAGGAATAATGCATTTGGGACAATATTTAAAATAAGAATATGAATTACAGTTAAATTAAATCATATATTCTAACTGTAATCTAGACTGGCTGAAATATACCAGTAGTGAAGAAGAACATATTATTTGAAAACCCATGCTGAAGTAATCAGAAATGTCACCTTCTTCACTCCTGCCTAACTGATCTGTTCCTTTACTACACACATCCAGTAACTTTAAGATCAAGAAAAACATCATCACTCCTGTTTTGTGACTTCTGCTTTCTGTAGCTTCCATTCTTAGTTGTGAAAACACACCACTGAGTTAGATAACCTGCTGTGATTTTGGTGTGTACTGCCCTCATGCATGCTCTGATAATCAATTAGCAGAATCTGGAAAGTCCTAGTGTTTGGTGCAGCAGCAAACCTCCTAGTCTGTATAAAAGAGAGCATTAAAGTACTCCCCTTAATGTACTGTATGTGTTTAGTGGAACAGACTTATTATTTTACACTTCTGTAGATTTCATTGAATGAATTGCATGGAATGCTATAATGGTTTGCAATGCAACATGATCTAAAACATTGCATTTTTAACCCAAGGGGACCAGCAGGTTTATTCTGTTTGCATGTGCTTTCCCCTAGACTCTGGCTGCCCTAACAAGAAATTCAATAAATCTGCTTCCAAACCATCTTGCACAAGCTTTGCATGTCCAGTCTGGGCCTGAGGAAATTAACAAGCGAATAGAGCACACCATCGACTTACGGAGTGGCGATAAATTGAGAAGAGAGCATATCAAGCCTTTTTCACTGATGTTTAAAGACTCCAGCCTGGAGCATAAGGTAGCTGGGTCTTGGTAGCTGCATTATTCACAACTCAAATCGTAATAAATGTCCACTGAAGTAAAGGAGCTGTAGGTTCTAGCTTGCATTGATTGTTTTCTGGTTTTGGTTTTCTTTTTCATTTTGTTTCAGTTTTTAGAAGTTGGGGCTGAGCTAGAGGTCGTAATAGACAGTGTCATGATGCAGGTATTATAATGCTGCAATGATTACATTTTATTGTTGGAAAATGCCTACTCTGAGCAAACTCTGCTTCTGAAAACAACAGCCATTTGCCAGGTTTCACTTGCTGTCAAGTACAAGCAGTTTTCTGTCAGATGGCAGGTTGCTTTGGCACAAATGGTGATTGAGCATATTAATAAACTGACACTTCAATTCAAAACATATATCTATATGTATATAGATGTGTTTCTTTCATTTAGCCATAGGATCCATCTGATGTCCTCTAGGCAGCTGCTATGTTTATTTCAAGTCAAAACTGAATTGTCAACTCTTTGTTTTACATATCCTTTTTAAACATGTGCTTCTAAGAGGTAAATATTGTTCATGTCTTTGCTGCTTCTCATCAACAATATGATCTCACTAATTTCTATTTTAGCCTACATCCAGATGTAAGTTATAAATTAAAAAAGATAAGGCAATGGGAGAACTTTCCTCACAAGCTGATGACATGGGGCAGGGTTGCACAGATCTCAAATGATTTCATTGACTTGTGTACTACTACAATGCAGCAACAGCAGGTCTTGCTGTTGTGCAAGATGTGCACTTGACTGAAAAGAAAGAAAAATAACAGGGAATTGGAAGCATGGAGGCCCACTTCGTCATCTCTTTAACCTCCACTGGAAAACAGACTTTTTTACTTGGCTTATGGGACACCAGCCCTCAGGTGGTATCAGTGGTAAAAGCTTAATGAAAACCACTGGAAAAGAAAAATTCTGCTTTATGTATATTTTAGCCCTTATTTCACAAGCAATCCTGCAGAAGGAAAAAGAAAGGTTCATTTTTTTTTAAAAAAAAAGAAAAGATTTAATTTCTACATGACGATATTTATGACATTGTGACACAAGGTAGAATCCCCAAGGCCAAATTAGCTGCTACTGCTGCAACAGAAGATACACTGGTATTTCTTTCAGTGCAGTCATCATGCAAAGCTGACAGGGACCCAGAGGAACTCAAATCCAAGATTTCTGATATCCTGTGAATTACCATCTAAAGGCTCAAAAGTCATAAATAATCTTCAATCTTTTCAAGTCAAAAAGTCAAAAAATAAGGTCAAAAAGTCAAGACAAAATAGCATTTAACCTAGAAAGTGAGGGATAGTATAGTCAAAATTTTTTGTGCAAAAGAGGAAACAGTCTGGTCACAAACATCTTGCTGAATGAGGAAGCTAGTCAATGGTTCGCCTGGTCTTACATTATTATTTAATAAAAATGAGGCCTGAACATGGACTGGAATGAAGGGACACTGCACAGAATCAGATGCTCTATTCAGAATATAAACTTTTTTGTCATTTTAGACTTCACTATTAGCAGCCACAAGGCAAATCTATACAGAAAGAGTAGACTTTCATTTAAATGCAACTTAAGCAAGAGGAGGAGAAAAAAAAAAACCCATGCTTTAAACCATTGCATTACATAGGTCAGATTTTAAATATTAATAACATTTTGAATTGCATTTGGATGACAAAAAGTCTATTTAAAAGTCAACATTTTGAGCAGTTTTGATACTCTCATAAAGCTGTTTCAGCAGCCTTTCCCTCTGCTCTCTCCACCCCTAACCTTTCAGCCTGAAATTATGTTTTCTCCTAGCCATTAACATTTTGCAACTGCTTACATGACCTTCTACATCAGTACCTTGAGCTGCTCTCTGTAGCGTTGCTGAGCACGTAGAGAGTGTATGACTACGGGCTTCCCATCTCACACTGCCGTTTTCATTTGCTGCCAGTGACAGCTTCAAGTCAGAGGTAGCTCTGAAGCAAAATAACTTCCCCAATGTAAAATCTTGTGCCCTCACATTTAGCCATCCCACTTTCAGGCAGTGCTGGCATCTGCCTAAAACTTATTTCTTTTATCTGTAAGTACTTCTCACCCCAGACTTTACAGTTATTCAGCAGGCAGAACAACCGGTACCCATAGCTGAGGTTTTGATCAACAAGTGTTACGTTAACCCTGTTCAATGAGAATTGTGTTAATGCTCTGTACCTCAAACCACAAAGAAGTGAGTAACCATATGAACACTAAACTATATTTCTTCCTCCGGAATTAGTAACAAGACTACCATGCCGTGGGATCATAAATATTTTGGGGTGACTTGAATAGATCTGAAATGTCATGCTGGGCTTCTATTTAAACAGTCTGGGTTGTTTGGGGTTTTTTTCATTGTAAAACAATTGCAAACAGAGGATTTATGCTAGCAAGGAAAATGCTGTTTTGGTTCATGTAAGGTTTCAAAAGGTAAAAAAAAAAAAATAATTTCTGGAATCAGCATGTCCAAAACTACCATGGGAGCTAGCACTGCTCCTGGTTTACAAAGGTTTAAAAGACTGGTATATCACAGTAGTTTAAGCCATTGGTTTATCTTCCAACTCCTCTCTTATCTCATTGCTCTATGTCCTTGGTGAGAGAATAAACGATTCCACAGCAAGCAGTAACGGTTGCATCAGCGAATGGGTGATCTCCCTGAGGCAGTATGTATATTTCCGTATGAATTTTGTAATACTTCATTTTTCAGAGGATTTGTGCAGGATCCCCACCTGCTATATCTTATAGCTTCTTTACCCAAATGGACTAGTCATTACTAACCTGTATTTCACCCATTAGCACTTGATATCTCATTTAGAGACTAATTCACTCTTATATTTTCCCAATTTTGCTAGAAGTTATTTTCACAAATAGGATGTAGGCAGATAGACCAAAAGACTCATCACAGGAGAGTACTTTTAAAGGTAGCATGAAAATATACTAAGGATTTCCAAATATGTAATAGCTCATAAGGAAAATGTTATACTACTTTAGATGATTTCCAATAATTAAATATATTATTATGATGCTCCACCTTAATAGCAGTGACTTGGAAATATCAGTACCATATACTTTTGTACAGGATAAAGCATAGTAAGAGGGCAGGGAAGTTTACATGCTGGTAGGGTATTTGTTAATGAAAGTTTCCAATGTAAAGATTTGTATAAAGATATTCTAAGCCTTCCTACATATTTGTATTGGTGATATCCATAAAGTACATTGGGATCATAAATCAGACTGGGCTTAGAGGTGAAGTGTCTTCATATTTTCTGTGAGGTGAGCCCACTGAAAATATCAAAAGGGCTTTGAATTTCACAGTTCAGGTTTAGAAATTAAATGAGTAGGAAAAAAACGTTGCCCTCCCTGCATGCTATATCCTTGCAGACATGGGCCTCACCGCTTTCCTTCAACCCAGAAACTTCCAGTGGCAAGAAGGTCAGCAAGAAACACTGAGCAAACTCTGGACCTGTTCAGCATCTTATTTTCTGTTATTGATCAACACCTGGACCTGTGTCTACCATTTGATCTTCTCAGGAGTTCATCTATCTTTTCTCCTGCCTTAGGCTCCCTGATAGATCTTCTTCTGTCCTTCCCCTCTACTGCAGAAGTTTTTCCAGTGGCAAAAACACCATTGCTCTGAAGAAAAAAACCACATGGTCTCCCTTTTCATCCATAAGGTCCTATCTGAGTCAAAGAGCAGCAGTGAGGATAAGACCAAAAACTTTCCTTCCCAGTGGAGGAAACAAACACTTTCTCTAGGGGAACACAGAAGTCTGTTTCATTCCCAGTGCTCCCCTTTCAAAGAGCCCTGGGAAAAGAGAGGAGGGGGGGAATAAGCAGCATTACTTGGCAGAGGAAATTTGGCCTTTCTTATGCAAGCTCAGTTTCAGGTAGCTGGCTGGGCTAGTGGATAAACAGTGTTCCCTCAAGAGCGCAGGCGAACGGCTCAAGCCCCATGGGAAGCAGGATGAGCCTTCACTGCACCATGAGCAAGTCATGCCACTGCAAGGTAGGTCTGTGGGCTGTTGCAGCTAAGGTTTCATTGTAGAGTAGGTCACACCATGATTCTTCCTACCCTTCTATGCAGCTCTAGTTGGCTACATGCCTTCCCATGCTTATGGAAGTGCCTTGAGGCTTAGTCTATCCTTCAGTTACTTCTCCAAGTCATTAAGGGATAGACTGCTGCAGAAGTGCTACATTTATCATTGGTGTTTGTGCTGCCTCAGCTATGCTAACAATTTCTCATCACAGCATTGTCACTGATTAGACCACAGCATTCATCCTTTTGATATAACTCTCGACACGGCAGGCAATTCCATGTTTTGTGTTTCATTGGGTTAGTTTGCTATAATTTCCCTAAGGAACAGTTGTGGGTTTTCATGTTATATTTTAAGGAACACACTTTTCTTTTTCCCTTCGGTTCTCTTTTGTGTCGCAATCAAAAAAAGCCCTAGTCCATTATTTAAGCGGACTGACACAGTTCTGTTTCCCCACACATGAAATCAGGGTCAGTGCCTCTGTGCTTCCAGCAGCAAAATGGAGTTGTCTGTAAACACCATCAAAAATCATGTCAAAGTGATACTGCTTCTGCCAACAGTAGACACAGGGTATAATCACAGCAGAGGAGGACTCAAAATGAGGGATGCCAACAAATAAACGCCCTCTCTTACTCAGAACAAATGGGAGCAGGGAAGAGATAAGCCTTTTTCCCATTTCAGGAGCTTCAGAGTGTTTTGACCAGATGTTTATAACTGAGATCAAGTCCCTACTGAAGGTCCACGTAGCAAATACGGTCTAAGTCTATACAGGATCTTTCTTCAAGAGCTATAAAGCTTCCTTCAGATTAGCTATAAAATGCAGTTCATAGCTGAACTCTCTCAATGTATGTTCCTGATATATTGCCTAATGGTTTTAATTTTTCTCAATTGTAATGCTCTCTAGGCATTTATAACTGCAGTTTGTCTTATTTCCAAATTGCCGGAGAAAGATTCTGATATCTGATATCTCTTTGACTGATTTCCTTTTGTTCTGTACACGTAACTCTTAGCTCCTTCAAAACTGCAAGAGATTAAATAAAACGGAGTTATTGTTCAGAAGAGGAAAAATGACTGGGGCAGGCGTCTGTGGGATTTTTTTATTAGGTGAAGAAAATTTAGTGGCACCAGTATAGGATAAAGAGATTTACAAAAATATGTCTATGGACCAATCTTCATCTGCTGTAAACAATTGGAGTTTAAGTGAATTAGCAGTGATAAATACCAGCTGAGGACTTGGGTAACATTTCCACTTTAACTGATCCACTGTGATTCACTGATGTATCAGTTACTCCTTTTCTTGGTAACTCCCATAAAAGGGGAACCTGCTAGCATTTTCTGTGGTTTGATATGATAGATAAAAATACTTTTGAAATAAATCATAATAATAATGCACCTCAGATGGCCTTTTACATAACAATACCTTTATTTGCTCCTTGGAGAATGCCCATATTGCCAAATTTCTGCACAGCCTCTGGATAAGTTAGGATACAGAGATCATGACCCACATTCCAAATAGTCACAGAATGTCCCAAACTATGTACTTTTCTAAAAAAAAAAAAAAAAGTAAAAAAGAAAACAGACTGGCCTCAGTTTGGCAAGCATGGAAACACCTCCATGACATCATGGATGCAGAGTTGCAGCTGACTTCAGTGTTTGTCTTCAGGTGAGGAAACCCATGGTTCCTCCGGTTATGCTGTTAGGCATTTAGTATTCTACTCAGCAGCACAAGCCCCTGGTATCTATTTGGGGATTTTTAAAGCAAATAATTTTTAAAAAGAGGCAACTAAGTAAAACAACTTTGTATTGCAAATTACAGAGTTTTGCTCTCTTGGATAAAGTATTTTACCAGCTTGTTAATTATTTATTTGTTGTGTTTCATTTTAAAAAACAAATTCAGGTTTATCCATTTATTAGCTCTTCCTGCTAATTTCCCCAAAGTGTCCTATATGCATCAGTCTTTATGAAACAACTGCATGAATTAACAGCTAATATACTCTTCTGTTTTTTGTTGGTTTTTTTTTTATTCCAGTATTCTCAAATGCGGGATGAAGTATTCAAATCAAACTTGGTGTGCGCATTTATTGTTCTTGTATTTATCACCGCTATCCAAAGCTTACTTCCTTCTTCCAGGTAAAAACAGAAATATATCTCTATATATCTGAAGGTGCTCTTGGGGAAACAGCAGGATAACATTTCTAGGATTGGCGTGGAATGAACCAATAAAATATGCTTGTTCCCCAAAAGTGTCTGGAAATATTTTTTCACTTTTTTTTCCAATATTAACTACTCTTGTATCACATTATCTGCAGCTACATGTTTTCATGTGACACAGCAGCATCTACTGACATTATGTTTTTATGTTTCTAAGCAGAGCCCCCGCTGAGGTAAGTGGGAACTTTGTGTTGCAAAAGTTTGGCCTGCTGTTTCCAGGGTTGAAGTAAAACCTGATCCAGACTTATAATAGTCCCTCTTTGCTAAGTGACTGGTAATCACCTTGGGAATCAGTGATTTGGGTTCATTTCTTACATGCTACATAAACAAATTGTACTGTTGTGCGTTATTGCTGCTGATGATACATATTACCCAGCTGGGGAAAGCAACCTTGTGCCAAAGGGGAAGCAAGGAGGTGATCTGGTAGATCTTTTCTCACTTCTACTTTTATCTGGGGCTGACCAAGCAACAACTTCCTATCAAGGTGATGAAAATGTGACACAGGTGAAACCTCTGCATTCACATGTTTTGCATGGTCAAACCCATCAATTGGCATTTTTTTCTGCTATTTAGTAGTAAGAACACAAGTGTGTGTAAAAGGACTAAGGTCAGTTTTCTAGCATCATAGTAGAGCCAGCAGAACATGCCCACCACTAAAACATGCCCCTGGTCCCATTTGGTCTTTGGCAGAGCGAGTACTAAAATGGAAATGCCCAGATGAACATAATTCTCAGGTGGTTTCTAACACTCAGATTAACCTTATGTCTGCTTATAGAATAACTTTGAGAATACAGTATTTGTATAAGGAAAAAGACTTTTATTGTGTTACAGTAATGCAGCAATATTATTTGGATCATCTCTGGAAGATCTGGTTAACCATATTTATGTCTAAAAATACCAAAATGGTGGTTAGATGCAGGCAGGTAACTGTACTCTGCAGCAGTGGTGTCCCATGTATTTCGTAGTTCTCAGCTGGGAAAGTATCCAGAGTAGTACCTGACCTGCTGCTCTTCCTTATGTGCTGTATTGCTATAATACTAATAAGTTTGTTTGCTTTTTTAAAAGTTCTTCTCCCAATACACGTTCAAAATTCTTTATTTCTGGTAGCTGTTGTTTTTATTTTTTTCTCAGTATGTACAAGATTTATGGACCTTATTAATGGAACCAGTTTTCAAAAGATATTTCTGCTGCTATATCAATCACTGCTATACCAGCAAAAAAAAAATGACATTTTTTCTATCTGCACAGATTCATCTCTGTTAATTCCCGTGAGGGTGTCTAGTGCCATTGGAATTAGGGGAGAAGGAGTCACATAACCACTTTGCCTGCAGCTGTCTCACTTCCCGGTTTCCCATCTTGCACAGTAGTCTTGTGTTTTTTCCCTGCACTTCGGAAATGCTTTGTGGGCCTTTTTGTCACTGAATGTTAAAGAGGCTGTAAATATAAATAGATTCAAATAACGATTAGATAAATTCCTACAAGATAAGATCAGCAGAGGTTTTTAAACCTTGCTTGTTGCTTTAAACCTTATGGAGCCTTGGCCTCAAGAATGCCCTTAAAAGTTGATTGCTGGAACCTGGGAAGCTGTTTAGGGAAAGGATATTTACCACTATCCCTTTTGTGAGAGAAGATTTGGAGGCACATGGATGCTTTATGGCAGTTCTTATCTTCTTTCAGGAGCTGAAAATCACTGTCAAGATTTAAGAAGGCAAATTTTGGTCTTTGTTTTTCAAGTTCTGATACTCTGGTTCAAAAAATCTGTTTCAGTCTTAAAAAAACATGCCTGTTAAATGAGCGAAGGTCAACAGATGAGCAACCCTAGAATAACAGTATGAGGGTTTTTAGTCAGAAGGTTTCAATATGCTTGAACATATTGAATGAGGAAATAATCTGGAAGTTCAGATTTCCTAAATTCCAGTTCTAAAAACAATTCAATGTATAAGCACATGAAGAAGCTATCACAAAATTATGTGAGATTTTGATTCAGAGAGTCTTGGAGACAACTGCATGCTCATCTGTTATACCTCTAGTAGATATCACAGAAGTAAATGACCACAATGGAAAAGCATGGACATCATTTCCATGGAACAGCTAACAAACTATAATTCACACCCGTCATGGTAACTTACCCGTTTCCTAACAATACATTTAAGTGTCTTTCAATGTATGCTTCAGAGCTCTGCTGAAAAAGGATGGAATTTTGTATACGCTCAAGTACATGTTTGAATATTTTTCTGAGCTGAGTCTTCTGGGGATTTCCGTAAATTCGGTGAAAGAAAACATTATTTAAATCATCATAAAACTTATCTTACTGAGGATCTTCAGAGAGTTTCCCATATAGGTTGCCTTAGTCTATGTGTTAAAGAAGGGAATCATCTTTCTGTTATTGCATCTACTTTGTATGGGAGTTTCAGAATTTTATCTCAGTTTATATCTGTCTCCCACAGGATAAATATTTGATCCATTTGTACTTTTCCCTGACAGGGCAGGCACATCACTGAATTTAAAAATCTTTGCAACAGTTTTCATTCTTTGAAATATTGAGTTGGGGAAATTACTCTAAGTGACATAAATTAATGTCATATTTCTGCTGTAATTATACTCTATGAAGCCATTATGTTACATTGCCAACCTTGCAGTGATTCATCTTCTCCATCTGAGAGGCCTGGGAGTTTGATTCATTTCCTGCAATGAACTTTCTATATGCTCACATGGGCAATAGATCATACTAGAGTAGATTGCTGAAATACTATTATTTCTGTCAGTTTTTCACTGGTTATTCTTGTGAGGGGAGAAAAACAGATTTCAGACATCTGCATCTTTTGTTTTACGTAAATTTTCCTTCTGGCTCAACTCTTGATTTGTGACTGTACACAAGGAAGAGGGAAGGCAAAAGCTGCATTTAAAACTTCACTTGATCTTGACAGTAAGGGAACCCCTGGAAAGAAAAGCATTTGGTCTTGAATGAAGAGGGCATCCAACACAGGTGTCATAGTTCTGGGAGAAGTTCATGGACAGAAAAGTATTATGGATGTTTGTTCCTATTCCTCTAACCTTGGCTATGTCTTCTGCTGTACTTGATCTTATCAGCATGCTGCCAAAAAAATCTTAGCACAGATATTGGATTGATCCTATAGGAGATGTGCAGACTTCAGTTTTGCTTTTATCTCTAAACAGGCATAAACAAGAAACAATCACGTGCAAGTTCAACCGAACAGCTACAGTGGAAGAATTTTTATTTCCTATACATTTATGATGAACAAATACAAGGCCATGGTTTCTCAGGCACTTAAGCAGGTTATGCTGCATTTTGGATGATATCCCAGACTTAGGTCCCTAGGTGCTCCCTTTATAATATCTTAATTCAATAGCACTGTGTCTTACATGTAGAGTTTGGCAGTTCAAAATAAGAACTCATGTTTAGTGTCCTGAGGCCTGACCTCTTGAGCCTTGACCCTAATCTTTTTGAAAGCCTTAATTTGGTTTCATTTAGAGCTGGGTCAAGCTAGGTCTGCAGAATTGGTAGGCTACATCTGCATATATAGACTGCCTATATATATCTGAGGTATAGATAGAAACTATCCTTTCCAAAGAGGATCTCACTCATTTGGCTTTGGAAAGCAAGAAGGCTGGTACAGACTACTGTAGTGTGGGAAACTGAAGGAATTAATCTCACATAAATACCTGTCACTGTCTGTACCCTGGAATCAAAACATAGCCACTGGAGAAGAGGACAATCAGTGGATCTCAAGGTGCCTTCCACCTGAATAAATGTAAGAGGTTGCTGTGCAGTGAGATGAATTGTATCCTAAACTACATAGCTCTCTTGATGAGCCCTCTTGACTCTCTTGACTAGTTCTTCATGAACATACTGTCCATCTTTTCCCAGCTTTATTGATTTTCTCTACCTTGGCTTTCTGTGTATTTCCACAGACATAAGCTGCTCTCAAGGCATTGTTGCATTGTGTCTCTACTTGGTAGCCTTGGAACTTTCAGCAAGTCCTGAAACTCTTCCCAGAAAAATTTTAGTTGCGCAGAATGAAATCTGCGGGTCCTGCTCCAATCTTTGTTTCTTCGTTATTCACTCTTCCCTTCTTAATAAAGTTTGGTTTTACTGGCTATGTCAGACAAGAAAGTCTGAAGTAGATTGCACATTATTCTGTCCTGATACTTTAAAGGAATCATTGTCCCAGCAAGGCTGTTTGGATGATCAGAAAGAAATAATGTTTATGCAAATATTGTCATTAAAACACTATCAGATTTAGTGTATTTGAATCTCTATCATCACAGCTGAATTAGGACATTGAAAATCACAACATTTTTGTAACAAGTAATATTTAAAATTAAGCAGGCTAAAGCAAACAGCAATACAGTTGTGCACTTCAGTCTCTTTCAGTTTTGACACCTGTAGCTCATATGTTATTCATGTCTTTTTCCTCAACATGACCAACATTTCCCCATATATACTCTGACTTATGCCTACTTTTTTCCAAAAAACATATTTCCTTTTGAACATAAAAATTTTTGTGCTGTTTTCTCAAGGCATTTTCTACAAACATCAGTACTATGAGGAAGATGTACTGACAGTTTTCACATAAACTACCCAGTGCATCTTTGGTGTCTCCTTGGTGCAAATATTTTTGATTCTATCCATCAGCTGCAAATATGGCCAGAGCTAAGAAATGCCAGTTCCTTCACAGACTGATTCTCAGATATGTCCATGTATCCTCTCCTGCCATTACCTCAGTGTGGTTTCCTCTTCTTGTTGGCTACATATGTATTAGCTTACAGTGAAACTTTCTAGAGCAAAAGCTTTAGTTAATAGGCTCAAACCACAAATCTGATTTCAGACCTGTATGAGTTTAGAATTTGTTCTTCTAGAGCAAAACTTGAATAGCCTGAAATTAAAGAGAATTTCAGGTAGGTTGAGATACAGTCCATTCAGATTCAGGGAATGGATCTGGCTGACCTCCTGAAAAATGAGGAGAGAAAAGCTATGTTGATGTTTTCATTTCTATTTCCACCCTTAAATTTGTCTTGCTGTACGGCACAAGTGTACAAAAACCATTGCACCCACTCAAGGAGAGGAAGGATAGGTGATGTATAGCAAAATCTGAAACTTCATGTTTTCAATAAGACAAAACAGAAACCTTACTAAGCAGAGTACAGCTTACCTACATGCAGCCACCTGGAAGTGCAGAAGTCTCCCTGGAGCACCCTGATAGGCCACTTTCAAAGATATCTTTCTGTGAGACATTATGATTAAATCACTTTAGTATACTGGCACATATACAACTACGTTACTAGAAATTTTAATTACTTAATTCAAAGCCTCAAGGTTAATCGTTATCTTTGTAGCAAACAGGCAAGGGAAAGCAGAGTGAAGAGGGGCAAGGTTTACAGGGGCAGTGGAGTTTGTTTTATTTTGCATGGATTTGATCTTTGGGAAAAGAGATACAGAAAGATAATGACTGACACAAAAGGGGACAAAAATCTTGAACTGTGAAGTGTTGAGTGTTTTCTTCTTAGTGAAGTAAAACAACTTACTGCATTTCTCAACCACTTTGATTACTTGATTGACTTCAGGTCCCAGATTTAAGCAAGAAAAAGTAATAAATGTAGAAAAATATAATGAAAGTTGGACTAGAAGAAATTATTTTTTTAACAGTTTATTCAAAGGAATTGAACCGTTTATTCTGCCTACGCATTTAACAATACTTGATTAAGTATCACATTTGCAAGACCAAAATTTACAGATTAAGCCAAATGCCATGGTTTATTTAAACATGTTTGGATCGTAGGACACCTTTTCACCTGCTTTACATTTTAAAGGACTTCCATGAAAACAGTAGGTCAGTTCTTTTGCTTTTTTAGTAACCAATGAGATTCTTAGCTGCTGTTAATTAATTAATTAAAATGAGCGGAATCTTGTATTTCTGTAAATTTTGTATCATGACTTGCTCCAGAAAACAGGCTGCATTATTGCACTCGCTTTAGAGTCTATGACCCTCGGTATAGTATGAGTTTAAGAAACCTGTGTTGTGCTGTATACAAAATAAAACTCTACTAAACTGCCCCCAAACTAGCCTACTAGAGTGGGAACCAGCTCATACATACGTGCATCAGAATCTTACAGGCTGAATAGATTTGCTCTGAAAGAAACCTAAGGGACAACTGAGTCCCAAAGGAAAGGACATTCCTGCCACTGGGACTCTATATAGCCAGAGAGAGGCACTGGCAATGATTTCCCCGGCTTGTTACTTCAACAGCAGTTTCTCAGCAAGAAACCATGTGAAGCAATGGCAGACCTATGGAACATGAACAAATCTTTGCTGACTCTGGCGTTTTTTTACCTAGATTAATTGTCTCAGATTTATGACAACTGATTTTTCCTAGTCTTAACTGTTTACACATTTATTTTTATTAGCATGGTATTGTGTTGAGGTTTAATGCTGGGTTCTCCTCTTTTTTTCTTTCCAGGGTGATACCAATGGTGATTCAGTTTTCTATTCTGATTATGCTGCACTCCGCTCTTGTGCTAATCACTACAGCAGAGGATTACAAATGTTTACCCTTAATGCTTCGGAAAACCTGCTGCTGGATTAATGAGACCTACCTGGCCAGGAATGTCATTATATTTGCATCAATTCTGATTAATTTTCTTGGAGCCATCATCAATATTGTAAGCTTCATAGAGAACCAGGGAATATTATACAGGGAAAAGATGATTTATGAATTATTAAGCTTGTTACAGGACTTGCTAACTAATGTGTTTATAAGCCAGCGATGATTTAAATGTAAAAGGCAAAGTACCACAGCTTCAGGAAATCCAAACTGTTGCTTAAACTATGTGTTTCTGAAATATCTAATTATTTCTTCCTCATGAGTATCATCGATTTCTAAAACCTTTTTGCTACTTTCTGTTCAATATATCCACCCTTTGAGGACCATTTGTAATTTTCTGACATGCTGATACACTTTCTTAAAGACTGTCAATCCAAGTTATGCTTACAGATATTAAATTCCTCATCTCACAGTTCTCCCATTAATCAGATTACTAAAAAAACCAAGAAGTGTCAACAAACCCAGAAAATACCTTCAAAGAAAGGACAGAGCAGGTCAAGCTGAACCAGTAGCCACAGCATGTAAAAAGAATTTTAAAAGTGTAAATTCTAAACATACCGTGCCATTTGCTCATTTGGTGATGTAACAAAACACTTCAGCCCAGATTCATCTTTGATGAATTACCAAACCATGGGCATGGTCACTCTCAGCTTGCTGTATAAAAAAAAAAAAAAAAAAAAAAAATTTTTGTGCAGAAAAATGGGCATCCCCTAAGAATTTTTTTGATCATACTGGTCCCAATAAAGACATTTTCTTCTCTCTACTGCCCACACAGGGATTTCAGTCTGATTGGGCTCCCCATGTACAGAACAGCACTAAGACCCTGAAGTGCGATGAATCTAGAGCAAAGTTAATCAGTATATCTGATATATACTGATATATATCAATATATCTATATCATCAGTATATCTATCTCATGTATATCATATATCTAATATATATGAGTGAGGAAATGCATGTACCAAACTTTGCTTAGTAGCTATGGTTAGATAAAAATATTGATAATTTAATACTGTGGGCCTGGCTCTGTACAATGTCACATGGTAAAAGAGTAGGGTCTTTGTAACACGTGTACTAAATAAATCCAGATGTAATAAAGCCCTGATTATCTGGATGTCTTCAGAAATATGAGACAGCTTTGAATGAATTAGGCAGATTATCATGTCAGACAACCTGGCAGGTGTTGAACCCTGAGCCAAGAACAAGGTAAATATTAGACTGATAGATTAAAAGTAACATTTTCATCACCCTCTCCTCTTGTAGGGCACCTTTTGGCTATGGATTTAGCAGTGCTTTTTCATCTGAACTTTATTCTTTGTAAATATTTATTTCCTTCTAGATGAGACCAAGAAAGCATTTAGTGACAGTAATAGCAACTAGAACAACACAACAGCAACAATCATTATCCTGTAATAATTAACAATAATTATTATATCATTGCAGTAAGTATGCCAAAGTCTGACACTTCAAGAGTTTGCCTCATCTTTTGCTAACAGATATGAGATTTTATTTCATTCTATTGCTGTCATTCTTCCATGATTGAATTCAGGTTGCCAATATGCTAGGATTCAGCATTTGTCTTGGTTTTTTAGTGATACCATGCAGTAAGTGATAGGAGAGTTAGTTGAACAAGGAAGAATGTAGCCACTGATTGCTATCCTTAGAGAGAAAATGCAAATACAGTAAATGACAGGATGTTAAATAGGGCTGAAAACTTCCTGCAAATAAGGACAGATCACATAGTATAGCATTGTAGAATTGAGAGGGGTTTAAATCATATTTGACAAATATCTGTCAAGAAAGATTTTAGTAGAATTAATCTTGCTCTTGAAACAAGACCACCTCCACAAGGCTACCCATACCCAATTTGCTATGGATATGATAATAACGAGATTTGCCCCTGACTTGTTGTGGATTATGTTTTAAGATTGTGTCCACTGTAATCTTGTGGGATGGATAAACCAAAACCAGTCAAAATAAATATAATTCTTCTTACTCTCATACTAATGGGTTTCTTGAAGGCAGTAAACAGTAATATTTATTCTCATGTATTTAGAATAGCAATGACTTGAGTCACCGAGTCCTGACTTCTACAGGAAACCACATATAACCTCATTATTTCATATGTCAAAATCCTGCTATAATAATAGTTTACTTTTAACTAATTCCTGTACCCCATTTAAAAAAAAAAAAAAAAAAGTGACTTTCATGAAGTAGGTACCACAGCAGCCAGTGGGGTTCCATAGAGTGGACTGCAGCACTCAGGAGGGATATGCACGTAGTTAAGAGCAGATAATCCAGCTCACTCTTGAGCTGTATGTGTCCACTGAATTCAAATGCACCCAGTTGGAGGGGACTAAGACAAGAGTCATAAGGCTTTGCTTTCACCAGGGGGGGCAAATGAGTCTTGTGGTTCTTTGCATCAAGTGCGTTCTTACTGTTATAAAATTAGAATAAAGTTTCTGATCCTGAAGGTCATTTAAAAAGACACCCAGAGTGTTTCTCATGGCACTCTGCCCTGCAGAGAGGTGCTGTACACCTCATAAACTTCCAGAAGGTACCATTAACTATCTGTTGTCACAGACGACTGCACAGACAACCTAGAAAATGTTGCTGCATTGCAGAGATGACTGAATTGCTGAAAGAACAAACAAGAGAGTGCCAAGTTCAAAATTCATTAGAATTTAATTATAAGAAATGGGGCCTCATTAAACAAACTCTCTAACTCTGTTGGAAAGAAAGACAGGAGAACTAGCTTGTGCATACCAGGTTGATGAAATGACCTAGTATAAACATCCAGATTGGATTAGTACATGTAACAGGAGACTCCATCTGCTTTAACTGTCAAAATATGAAACCATTAATTATTTTTTTCCTGAGTTCTAAGACCATGATGTATTGCAACTCAACACTGCTGTTTTGTTTATATTTAATGCAGTTGGTTTGAAATACCATTAAAATGAATGCAGGTCATAACAGCAAAAGGCGATACTGCATTCTCAAAACTATTTTATCATGAATGAATTTTCATTCCCTTCTATTCTAGGAATCACAGTTGCAGTTCTGGGCCCACACTATGCTTTGGCACAAGCCAATTCTGCATGACGCCATGGGATTTTGTCCCACATCTAGAAGGATAACACTGTCCATAGCAACACTTGGCAGTGTTAGGATAATGGTTGGACTTGATGATTTTGAAGGTCTTTTCTAATCAAAACACTTCTGTGATTCAATGATTCTAACAGAGCAGAAAAACCTGCTTGCAGACAAATGCGCACATGCAGTTTGATATCATCCTCCAAATTTAATAATTTTGCCTATAGTTTACAGCAAAGTATAAACATTTTGAGAGGGTAGTTCTTAAGAGTCCAACATCAGTCCTCTGAAACTCCCAGAGGAGCTCATCATTCCCCTTTAGCAACAAGCGAGCATAGGAAGGCTACTCAGAAGCTGAATGTTTGTAGTGTGAATAGCTCCCCCCTTTCCATGTCATCTCCACAGTATGTCTTCTTCCTGTCCATTTAGTCCTTGGTGCCAGTTAGGGAGCTGGCACGAAGAGCAGCAGGTCAGCCAGTTCCATCCCTGAACCCAGCCAGCCAGCCACACAAGCACTTAGTCACCAATGCACAACATAGCCCTGATTCTGTTTTATTTCTTGACAGCTATGGTGTGATTTTGACAAACCAGTAGCCCTGAAGAACCAGACGTTCAATTCATCTGCATCTTTTACGGACATCTGTTCCTATCCTGAGGTATTTCTGAGGGAATTTTTGAATCTCAAGCATGATTCCACAAAGATTACATGGCAACCACTACCTGGTATCAATGACCTGTGTTCCGGTGGTAGAGTCAGGTGCCTCAACAACACTGTGAAGCTGAACTTTTGTATCTATCCATGTGCTGATAGAAAAAGGAGAGGCGGGTTACAGAAGGAATTAATTTTATGATCTAATGGAGCATTACAACCAAGTTTGAACTTCATACCGAATCTATCCTGGAAACACATCTAGCAATGATTCAGTGAACCTACTGCAATAAAACACACTACTTAATTCATATGAAGCCAATGGACACTAATACTTCTTAGATAGCAAAGCCAGTAATCATTCTGCTGTAATTATTTTAAATTTGCATTTGGAGCAAAAAAAATCCTCTCTATGGTGAGCAAGCAGGCAGCAAAATCAATGGGTTGGTCATGTGCAGATAAAAGAAGTATGTTGCTTAGAAAGTGATATGGCAGTGTCATGATACTGCCAGCAGTACGCCACAAATTGCAGGGATGTAGACTTTCCTACAGAGGAAGTGTACTAAAGAAAAACTGTACTTAGAAAAATGAATGCTATCTCTCCTAAAGCTGTGTGATAGGAGTTAATTTAAACTACATTTGGGCTGTGGGTGTTGATGTTGCTATTTTAAACCTGAATGGCTCATGGCCATGATTGTCTCTCTATATCCAGTATCAGCTGCATGGATTGCATTTGACGGATGACTAATCATTGAGAAAAATGAGACAATGAAGAGATTAGAAAATGAAATATGAATAAAACTTCCAGGCATCATATTTTAAGAGAGTAATGGAACTAAGCTAGGCCTGCAATAATAAAAAAAAAAAAAACCAAACCAAAACAAAACCCATCCAAACCTGTGGCTTTATCCTCTCTTCAAGTAGCATGGGAAAAGGATTAATGATTGTCCCATCCTGATTAATGTAGATCTTGTGGAAGTTCAGAATCCAAAGGAATATAAATTATTTTCTCTCCGTTAACTTTTCATTACCAAATTACTACATGCGACATCTCTCCCCATCCTTTTTTCACTATACAGGATGCCCTTCTAATACAATAAAATGTCATCAAGACTCAGAGGAGGATTTCTGCTAACATGGAGGTTCCATGCAAAATTACAATTTGTAATTTCACATTCTATTTTAGCAAAACCCTTATTTTCAAAGTGCCCTGTACCCAAAGAGGACTTAACTGAGCACTGAAATCCAGGGCAAATTTTATATACTTCTGATAACTTGATCCTTTATGTAGTTATTTATGGAGTGAATATGTAGTAACTGGTCACTGAAAGTAACCACTGCTGTTTTCTATTCAGTATTTTGTCTTCACTGGTGTGCTGGCAATGGTGACTTGTGCAGTCTTTCTTCGTCTCAACTCTGTCCTGAAGCTGGCAGTACTCCTCATCATGATTGCAATCTATTCTCTGCTGACTGAGACCATTTATGCTTCCCTTTTTCTGCAATATGACAACTTTAACCACAATGGAGAGTAAGTATTCATAGCCCTCTCTAGGAACATCTTTTTAATAAGGTAATTGGTCAACTCTTGCCAGAGTATACACGTATAATATAGCACCATAGTTAAGTATGGAGTGATGGTTGCAAGAGGCAATGACTAATCCAAAAAGATTTATAATGTGATTGTTTCTCAGGCCTTTTTATTAAAATGTTCATTTCACGAGGACATTTAAATAGTGAGCAGAGTTTGTCTTTTATGCCTCCCATAGTCTATCCATATTGCTAAATATATGCATTACAATGCATATATATTGGTTGCTTCTATTCTTGAAAACTCCAGAGATACTGACTGAAACTCTCACCTCAATTTAAGAAAACAGGAGTGAAAAGTTGATTTTTTAGGGGAAGGGTTTTAACTAAATAAAATTCAAACTATAATGTGTAGTTGTGAAAGATACAAGGAACATATTTCGTCGCAGTGCATTGGAAGGACAGATTCCTCCTCCCAGGCTTCCTTCCCAGCAAGAGGAGTTGAAGAGGACAGAAGAGCCACAGTAATATGCAGAGTCAGAGGTGCACCAAGTGTTGCGATAACTGAATCTAGAGCAACAGTGATTTAGCTCATTCAGAAAAGCACTTCTTCAATATTTAATACTTGACCAATTTAGTATTGCAGTTGCGCATGCTTGGAAGCGCATGCCAAATGAAGATCCTCAGAATGACAGAAAATTACGGATTTGCAGTGCAATTAGTTCTCACAACAGCCACATGGTTACACATAGTAAGACTCTGCACGTATATCTTCCTGTTTCTAATGCTAATTGTGCTCCTACAGACCAATGATATGATATTTAGCATATTCACAGCAGAGCCCAACAAATATGACAAATGACAGTAAGCAATGTATCTAAGTAACTACATGTAGGAATCATAATCATTGTCTTTAATTTTCGTCACTAATCAAGCATGGCAAAGAAAGATTCTCCCTTGCGTGAAAATCAAAGAGAGTTCCGAGTAGCTTCTACTCCCTGTGTCAATGAAACTCTCCAGTGACTTTTATCACAGAGGAGTAAGAAAGAGCCAGGAACATCCTCTAGAGTAGCCAACAGCGTAGGACATAGGGAACTCAGCTGAGATGCTCCACATTCAGGACAAGGATCTAAACTTCAGCTCTGACATTAGGGAGTATGAGGTTCAAGGCTGTGTGCTCAGAAACTTATGTTTTCTTAGCTATACCAATCAGTTGAATAAAAGGCTTTGCAGCTCCCTACAAAACACAATTAGCTCATATATTTGTGGCTATAGCTACATTACCACAATATGCAATAACAGATGACTTCATAACTAAGACCTTTGAGGCTGTTGCCCTTAGTCAGTGTACAAGGGGTCCTTCTAGAATGAAATCTTTGGGAGGTTGTATTTCAGATGACTTCAAAATGGGAAACATTTGAATTCCAAAATATTTGCAGATGACAAAAGCTTTCTGCCTGTCTTTTGCTCTATACTGATGACTCATCCCATAGTGGTACATTTCCTCACAGTAAATTCTTCATTAGGCCCACAAAGTCAGTTCAGTTAGCTCTCTCACAAGAAAGTTTCCTTTTGGTTTAGTCTCCGTCAAGCTCTGCTCTTTCTCTCTTATTTCTCTGACATAGGAGTCCTCTTGTGGCAAATGTCACCTGCTGGTTTTTTGGTTTTGATTTTGGTTTGGATTTTTTTGTTTGGTTGGTTTTTTGTTGGTTTTAGGGTTTAGGGTTTTCTTTTTGGTTTTGGTTTTTGTTGTTTGTTTTTTTTTTTTTTTTTTTTTTTGTTCCAGAATTATTATGGTAAATGGATTCAGGGTCAGTACTTTGCTTTATTCTTAGATCTCAAGGTAGACAGAAGAGTTTCCCAAAGTGTCTTCCAACTTCTGCTCCTTGTTTATTCCTTTATTAACTTTTTCCACAACTTCAAGACTTCAAGCTTTAGGCACCTCTTAACAATTTCCTCATCTTTCCTCATCTTCCTTCAACAAAATAATTATCAAGTATCAATGTTCCCTTCACCTCCAAATTTAGTTCTTTCTCCTTTTTGTTTTACTATAATATTTTGCCCTACCAATTCCCTTACATCTCCATTTATGTCTTTCCTCCTGGGAAACATGCCTTTTTAAATCCCCTGGTATTACAGAGATATTCACTTTCTTCAGTTTTGTCACCTTTGCACATAACTAATTTCTCCTCATATTTGAACTTTAAGTGTTCTGGACCCATTTCCCCTTATTTTGTTGCACACTTTCTTGATGCTACACACACAGCAGTTTCATACAACCAGTACCTTCTTGGCTCATTTTCATTGCTTTCCTACTGTCTGCAAGAGTTTCCTTTACTTCCTCTGTCATTACCAAACATTTTTTCTCTGCTCTCCTCTTTGTGGCTCAGTAAAAACAGTCCTAATTACTGTTCACCTTTTTTTTTAATTCCCCTTTGATCCACACCTCATTCCTTAACTCCCCTGTCATCTTCTCTGAACCTTTCTCACAAAATGGGGATGTTTAATTTTCCGCACCTGCCTTGGATTCATCTTTTATCTCCGGGCCCGTTCACTGGGCTTTTACTTTCACAGTTTGGAAGTTTCCCTTTCCCAGCTCCAGCCTAAACCTTTCCCCATCCAGATCCCACCTCCTGTACTCTGCAGGGGCTGTGGTGCTCATCGTTGTTTACCAACCTCCCAGGAAAAGAGAACGACTGACACACAGCTTGTATAGCACCTTTCAAAGTGAACGATCATCACCTTCTGTGTACCTACTGTAGGCTATAATTTAGTTATTTAATACATTTGTCTCCAAACAGTGAGCACTCTAATTACACTCCTGTTCTCTTGAACTAATTATTGCCAAGTTAAATTTTCAAATACAGGGGATCTTTTAAAGAACAAAACGTACCAGGGTGCATTATGAAATGAAACTTCTGAGCAATTACAACACTGACAAATCAATAATTGTATTTTACTTTGGATTTTTTTTCCAGCACAGACTTCCTGGGTACAAAGGAGGCATCTTTACTACTGATGGCAATGTTCCTTTTAGCAGTATTTTATCATGGTCAACAGGTAATGCAAACATTTGCTTTAACCATTCCCTATATCACTTGCAATTGCAGGATGTGACAATAATTACTTTCAAAATACCAACTGCCTTTTTATCCACTTGAACACATGACCTTTAACAATTTAATAAACCATATGCAGAATCTGATTAAAGAAAGCTCACATCTGACATTGTCTAGCATTCTTAAAGAACACGTGCAATATTATATTCAGCAATAAGCAAGTTATATTGCATTTTCTAATAGAAATTGAAGGAACAAACAGGACTTCATTTATCTTAGGTACATGTACAATCCCAGTGGCATCTGACTGCCTTGATGCACTTGAGTAGGCATAAAGCTGAAGTTTAAGAAAGGGAGTAACAAACAGTAAATAATAAAACTCCCATGAAATAGGTTAGTATGTTCATAGAGGAAAAACACCAGATTTGAGGAAATGAGGAAAATTTGCAGTTAAGCACAAACAGTAACTTCTTTGGGTCATGGACCACTTGCAAGAATTCTTTCACGTGGACCTAGATCATAAACCAGGATTTAGGGGTCTCAGAGTTTTAGGACTGATAACGTTGAGGAGGAACTGAGAAACCATGTATTTCAAGAATCCATACGCAGTGCACAGGCAGATTGAAGTACCACAAAACAAGATGTAAAATAACAAATGTATCGAGTAAAAGCCACCTAAAGCAGGATGTTTTCTCCACCACTTGTGGCTGGCAGTCTCTAGGCTGCTGCATGTTAAACATGCCGACTTCAGGGAGTTTCAGTGGCATAAAGGCAAAAGAAACCACTGCATTAAAGGAAGCGGCAACCACAGCTGCCTTTAGATGTTGTACTGCATGTTCAACTTGTTTAAAGATTTCCCCTTCGAGAGCATTAGGCTGATTAATACCAGCATTTCTCAATCCTAGTCTGAGTGAGGTAATAAGAGAGGAATGTTGCTGTGACGAATGACACAATATTATATACTTTCCTACAATAGCTTTCTAAGTTGTGCACATACCTACAGGCTCTACTCCTTCCATAGGAGAGCAAGAAGAAGGTAAGATCTAAATATTCTAGTAGTTTTCTTCCTTTTTATCTCCTTTTTGAGTAAATGAGGAATGAGTGAGTGGGGCAAGTAAGGGATGAAATGTTCTTTGTGCCTAGATTTAAGTGTGATGGCAAACAATGTATTTTGAGATATCTTTATCAGGACATAAAGCCCATTTAGGAAAAATATGCAAGAAATAAGAACTGAAATCCCAAATTTTTTATAAGCCTTATAATATTTCCAATTATTCTTAACATACTCAAAGATACAAATCTAAGGGTTGGGAATGGTCTAAAGTGAGAGTCAGTGCTAAGAAAGAAAACGCTAAAGGAGTTGAGGTAAAGCAGGACTAGGCAGAATCCAGGCAATGCTCTTCAGGATGACAATTCTGGGTGTAAATGTCTATCATCTTCTACATAAGCCTGATCTGGGTTGTTTAAGACTATTTTCCAGCCCAGAGGCCTGTTAGAACAACAGAGTAGAGTCTTTTTCCATCCTATTAATCTTCCTTATTTGATAAAACAGGGTGGCTGCACTCTCTTGGAAATGGTCCCTGAAATGTGTTAACTCGTGCAGGTTCTCCCAAACAATTCATAGGGCCACTCTATCAATGTAACAATATCCAATGGCAGTGCCTAGGAACCTTTCCTTCTATTGTTTAATTTCCTATTATAGAGTTAACCTAAAGGTCTCTGTATAAATACAAACCGAAAATATATATAAAAATTCTGTCCAGAGCAAATAAAAAAACATAAAATCACTTAAATAGTCTGAATTGATAGAGAGCACAGTAAATCCAATAAAGTTGTCCTCCAGCACAGCTTTGCTTCTCACAAACTGTGAAAGTATTCTGAAGCAGAATATCTTAAAACTTGCCTCATTCTAGGTGGATTTACAAAAAAGATGACTTTTGCAAGATGAAGCTTATGGACCCTTAATTTCTGAACAACTAACTGCTGTTCTTTGTCCATTGCGATTTAAAGTTAATCCCCAATTTTGCACCCAAAATTTTAAGTTAGATTCAAGAAAAAAGTTGTGTGAGACTGTCTAATGAGACTCAGAGCTTAAAATCTTGCCTGTACTTCAGCCAATAAATCTCGAGGGTCTCTGGTGCTAAACCCATAATTAAAAGTAGTTGCGTTGCTGTTACATGACATCAGGCTCTGCAGACTAATTCCGTATTAGAAATTCAATTTTATCTAGAAGCACACATTTTTAACACAAGTAATTCATATTTTAGAGCAGTGTTTCTGCAAACTAAACTTGAGAAAAAGCACGTGACAGAAGTGTTGTGGATAATTTCAAGGCTAGACTTACTCTCTTGTAAAATGTGTTCATTTACTGCTTTATTTTTTTAATGAGTTAAGTAGAACATTTGTAATGAACATAAACTATCCCTTAAAACCTTATCAAAATACGGTACCATATACATTTGTCTTTACTAGAAATACATCTCCAGTGAAAACAGACAATATAAACAGCCTCTTAACCCTGAGTGAAACCTTCTGCCATGGCTTTAAAAGGGAAGGTTTAAACAGTTGCAAAGAGGGAATAAAACTGCCCACCGCAGGCTCAGTCCCTCCTCTCCCACCACCCCAATTAGACCTAAAAAGAAACCTTATTAAACAGAGCACAAAATCCTGTCTGGTTTCTTTTAGATTGGGGATCTGAGTGTAGATCTTGCCTATCGCAGATGAGCGTTGTGGTGCAGGCCAGCATGGACGGACTGACTGGTTTGCCCCTCTGCTTCTGGGGGTCTTTGCTGCAAAGGAAGACTTGAACTTGGACAGGGCAGGCACAGCCAGCTATGAACCTGATAGCCTCTGGATGTCAGGGCTGCAGCTTAGCTCTACAGAGCCTTGTGGGAAGGAAGGAAGGAAGAACTAACATCCCTACACAGCAATTTATCTGCAAAAAGCATGACCTCCTGAACCTTCTTCATGCTTGGGAAAAAGGGGATGGATGAGGCAATGCGAAGAGGAGATCATTCCAATTGAAAGAGAAAAAGAGAGGAAGCGACATACCTAATTCTGCTATTATGCTTCAGGCCTCTTTGTTGTGCTTTCTATATTCAGATTTTAGTGTAGTGAAGAAAAGCTATTGCTTGTTTTCTCTGGAGTTAGACTGGTTTTGGTGGTTGAAAGTGTCCCTTTGGGACGTAAATCCTCTTTCTCATTCTCTAAAGAAGAATATTCTGCCCCTCAAACGCTCTTTACCTTATGCTTACCTTGCACGTGGCAATTGTCTGCAGAGAGTTGGGTTGTACAGCATGTAGAGGACATAGGTAGTGTTAGACTTTTTGTGTAATGCATCTCCTCTATTTTCTTCACTCACTATTGGAATTAGGGGTGTTTCATAGAAATACATATCAGGGCAAGAAAACCTGGACATTTCAAGATTTGTGTTGCAGACAGTCATTTTTATTGGCATCACTGTTCCCAGGAATAATTCTTTACATATTCGAAAAAGAAACCCAAAACTCAACCCTATAAGGTTGTTGGTTTTAAAAAATATCAGAACTTAGCAAAGCATCTTCTTAAAATTTCCTATTTTCAAAGGTCATATGTAGGACACACTTTTATCTCTGAGCTGACAGTGTCATCTCTGTTGTCCACTGATGATGCAAGAAGACTATTTCATGTTACAATGCAATTATAAATAACCAGAGTGACGTTATCTAAAATGTAAAGATTAGCTGCTGCTATTCTGAGCTAGGTTTAGAGATGTGAAATTTTCCTGTACAGCAACATAAAAAATCAGCTGTGAAACACTGTACTACAGTTTTTTTGCAAAGCTCTTATTGTAGTGGCATTAAATATCTGAAGCACCAAAGAACTCAGAATCCACCAGCAGCACCTGCTCCAAGCCAATCTGTAAAATACTTTTAGAAATCCTTGCAAAACTGTAGTCAGTGTTGCCTTCTCAGCTCATAGAGATAAAAGTCAGTTATGATCTTATACAGGCTCTGTCTTCTAGCACAAAAGGAAGAGGGAAGGAAACTGAAAAATGTTGAAAAAAAATATTTAAATATACTTTTTTCCTGACAGGTTTTTTGGTGCAATTAATTTAGGGAATTACTAGTCACAAGATGGAAGATCACAATATTAGAACTAGAAAAGAGATTAATTGTTTATAAAGGTGGCAATAGCGTCCAGAGGGCAAGTGAATGGCTGTTAAAATGCATACAAGCTTTGGAAGTTTCCATCAAGCCAGGCTCACTTTTAGCTTTTAGGAAGGAAAGCTCCCTGGAGTACAGTCAACCTGTAAGCCCACTTGCAAGGTTCTTTGCATTTTGTTCTGAACAGTTTGCCATTGGTCACTGCTGGTGACGAAAAATGTGGACAAGATGAGTCACTAAACAATGCTGAACATCCTCTTAGTCACTCTCACCCACCGCAGGCTTGCCCTTCACTTCAGCTTGGTACATGAATTATATCCCAACCACTTCCTTAATCCCAGTGCCTTTTGGCAAACCATTTGATGTCTCTCCCAGTTGTAAAATTCAGCTATGTGCTGGTATAATGCACTTCTCTGCTGGGTGTTTGATTATTATTTCCAGTTAGATCATCTCAAGCCTCACAATTATATTTTTCAGTTTACTGCACACAGATATATTTCCATCACTTTCAATAAGTCCATAGCTTAATAAGTGTGTTGGTTATAAGTCACCCCTTGTGCAAGCTATAATATCACCTGCCTTAAAATCTGATTAAAACTGTCTGTCAGCGTAATGCACCCAAACGCTCTGGCAGTGTCGGTCTTGTCCATGTGCTGACACACATGCCTCTCAGGCAAACAGCATGACGTTTCAACATGTTCTATCCTTCAGCTAGCAGACAGTTGCCATCTATGTAGATATGAATATGCATTTGTATATATATATAAAAGTACACAATGCATATATATATATATGCATATGTAAGCTGTGCTGTGCAGGGATCTTCCTTTTATTCTGTATATATACCACGCTGAAAACCACTTAACTCTGGTTTGTATCTGAGGGTATCAGGCACTGCCACTGGACAGGTGACTGCAGGCTCTGGGTCCACAATACATCAGGGACAGAGTATTCGAGGAGGTATCAAATACCATGTTTTTCCACTGGCTTTTAAAAGACTTAAATTGCAAATAAGCACATGTCCCAACAGTAGAAATACCTCATTTTGGTGCCACAGGTTTGAAAATCCTCTTTAGCAGTGTGTTGGGCTCTTATATTTACTTTTGCTGAAAGATGCTTATCCTTGAGAGGTAAACTACCTGCCTCTACCAAGTGTTCAGAATGACCCTTGTGCTATTTTCTCATGAAACTGATTTCATTTGAAAACACATATGAAAAGGGGAACATATTTATTTCATACCAATACCGATATCTTCCAATACCTTATCTCCTGTCTGACTCCATTATCTAAATAATAAAGAGGTGTTTAAAAGGAAAATAATTTTGTGAAATTTTCTAGCCACTGACCATAGCAGTAATATGACAAATATTATTTTGCCCAAGATTCCTCTGAGACATTCACCATATACAAGGCAAAGAAATAATCTTTTTTTTCTGGCAATGACATCAAATTCTTTCAGAGTCAAAGATCTTCAGCGGCACTGAAGGCGGTTACATGGCAGAAGCATCCTGCCAGGCTGACAATACAAAGTCTGCTCTTGCCAGGTTTTATTTTTGCCTTTTTTATCTTTCTGGAACTACAGCTTGAATACACAGCAAGGCTGGATTTTCTGTGGCGTGTTCAAGCGAAAGAAGAAATCAATGAAATGAAGGAGTTAAGGGAGCATAATGAAAATATGCTACGGAATATTTTACCCAGTCATGTTGCCCGTCACTTCCTGGAGAAGGATCGGGATAATGAAGTATGTATGAGTTTTATTTTTGATACTTTTGTCTGCTTAGCAAACGTAAAGCAAATCCGTTAATTTGTTAGAACTTAGTTCTCAGTAGGATTCATTATACAAATACTGCCAATATTTGGTATCTGATCCACATTAAAAAAAATTCATGTTTTAAAATAAAGGGTTCTGCAATTGTAGGACCACATCTGGAGTGGTGTTTCCAGGTTAAGGCTCACCAGTAGGAGACACATGGACCTACTAGAGCAAGTCTAGCAGAGGGTCACCAAGATGATTAGAGGATTGGGGAACACGACATATGAGGAGAGGCTGAGAGTGCTAGATTCATTCAACCTTAAGAGGAAAACACTGAAAGAGGATCTCGTCGTTGTCTTCAAATACCTAACGGATGTTTATAGAGAAGACAGAGCCAAACTCTTCTCCAGTGTGCAAGTAGAAGGACAAGAGGCAATGTCACAAGTTGCAGGAAGAAAAATCTCAGTTAGATACAAGGGAAAAGAAATCCCCAGGAAAGTGGTCACTGCCTTGGAGCTCAGAGAGGCTGTAAAATCTCCAGTTTTGGAGATATTAAACTCTTAACTGAATCAGACCATAAGAGATTTGACCTAATTGACCCTGCTTTGAGTGGGAACTGTATTAGATGACCATCAGAGGTCCCTTCAAACCTATGAGTCTATGAAAATCTAGTATTCCTAAAAAAAGATATCTAAATTTAACTGAATGCTTGTGCAACCTTAAGATAGCCCAGTGTTGCAGAAATATTATTACAGCCCTGCCAGTTATCATGGAAGGAATCTGTTCAACAGGATGCAACAGACCTGAACCTCCCACATCTTCGGACCCAAGAGAACATTTTTGCCATTTCAAATTGCCCCTGAATTGCCTCTTTGGGGCAGTTAACAATACACCCATTTCAGAAACATAGTTTGTGGCTATGTTCCTAAGGAGTGTTTGTAGTACACAAAGAAAACTCTGACAATGGAGTCTCTGGATATTCCTAAAACAGATTTTGAAGAGACGTTGCTGAAAGGATAAAGGAAAGTCCAGAATTTGTTTCTGAAAGCAGCAGTAAGTCACTTACTCCTTATTTGAAATAAGGCAAATGTGTATTATAATATTATCTGTGAATAAAGGCTATTGTATCATGAAACTAGAATTTTCTAATGTAATGTTGGAATTATCTTTTATAATGAAGAGATTACAAAAGTTGCAAGATTCAGGTTGCCAGCACTGACATATCTCTTTATTGTGCAGCAAAAAGGAATCAAGGCTACTGTTTTCTGATTGTACATTTTAGAAATAGATGTAGCTAGACGAATGAAACTGCACAAAGAGGAATCATTGTGTTCTGAAGATGTGATTTCAAATATCACCTAGGGAAGGACGACATAGTGAGAAGCTACAAGGAAAGGCACTTTAGAAATCAGTCTCTTGAGGAATTTTACACGCTGTGGGTATTAAACTGCCATAAAACCACAGCTCTGCACATGAGAAAATGTGTGTGTGAAAGCAATATCAGGTTAAAATGCTTCATTGCAAATGGAGCAGACCCCGATACCAACCATGAGTGTGTTCTGGCACATCTGCATTATGGATTTTCAGGGAATACATGTCCTCTCTTACACATTCATTCACATACACTGACATGCATAATAATCTTCAGAAGCAAACAGATGCCCCATGGATCACTGCTGATGTTTCAATAATTTGCCACTGAATTCAATTCCATCGCCCCTGCTTTTTGTAAGGCAATTTCCAGAGTGACTATACTTGGGGATGATTTATGCAGGAACTGGCTGGCTGTAGCATCCAGCAGATTTCAGTACAATCAATCCTGCACTTCATGTCTGGCCATTAAGTTAATTTCTCTGCTCTCAAAAAATGAATTCCCAAATGTGTACTGTAAGCATTTTCTCATGGATGTATTATTTCTGTTTTGAAGCTTCTTACCAAAAATAGAAAAATGGAGCTGCTGAAGGCTCAGCCAGTTGTTTTCTTTCTTCATGGTCTGAGGAAACAGTATGCCTGAGTGTATACATACTTCTCCTAGCACATATTGTCTAGTCCTCCATAAGCATCCACAAACTAACTTGTGTATTACTTTGTTCTATAGCTATGACAGGGAGTAAGAGTGTCCTTAGAATATGGCTTCCATGACCCAGCAGATGCTCTTCAGTGAAAGAAAGTGGAAGGGCAGGAAGGGAATCAGTCATGTTTTTCCTCAATCAAAGCTTTGGAGCGTCTTTGGAAACTAGCAGAATTTCCCTACTTTTATTGTAGGATGCATTTTTAAACGGTCTAGATAAGTCGCATCATTAACAGCATAGCACAGTACATAGCAGGAGCTCAGGATGCTTTTCTAGGGAGAAGCAGAATGTAGGAAGAAGAGGAGTCTGAGGTGTATGGCATCCAGTAAGTCCTTTTATCATGAGATCAAAGCACTAAAATTTCCTAAAGCACACTAACAAGAACATTGAGAAGCAACTATTCCAGGTCAGAATGTCATAAGAGAAGTCCCAGAACAGAAATGAAAGTATCTGCCATTGGGTAAAACTACAGAAGTTGAAGCTAGAAAAAAAATTAAACAAAAGAGAATGCATCAGGTTGTGGTATATTGGCCACTAGAAAAGCACACCAGGAATTTGGGGGGTGGGGGGTGTGTGTGTCTGTCCTTAACATTTTAAAAGTTGAAATTAGTTTTGTTCCTAAGAATTTGTTTGAGTTCAGAGAAGAACTGACCACATTTTCAAATATATGACAAGAATGCATCCACGAATAAATCTGTCATTCAGTACCAGAGTGAATTATATGAATAACATAAGTGGAAGCTTATCCCAGGGTATACTTCATCCTAATAGCCTCCTGTCTCCGATCCCTTATAAGCTGCTTTCTGTCCCCAGTAACTCCATTATCACCCTCACTCCCGTTTCTCCTTTCAAACCCTAATAGCAAGAGCCTTTCCAAGACACAGGCAACCAAATAGCTCCATAGTCACCTTAGGAGAACCACAGTTAACCACACAGTAAGGGGTCTCTGAAAACCTGTGAATAAACAAACTTGTAAAGAGCTGCAGTTGCATGAAGTATAAATTATCCTCCAGAAAATGTGGTAGCTGAGAGGACTCTTTACAAAGAGGTCATATTAGACATTTTAAATGGTCCCATCTGATCCCTGTTAATCAACAAATTTGGAAATACATTGTCAACTGCAAGCATTTATGAGACAGACTTAAAGAATAATAAATAATAAAAATCAGTTTCCTTTTACTTGCCTAACAGTGTTTGATTCTCTGGTATTCATGCTTGCAAATGAATCTTTCATTTCTTCAAGTGGTTCCCCATATAAATCAAAATGGAATATTCTATTTCAGTTTTGCTAGTGTAGACCCCTGACCCACTGACCCCAGAAGCAGAAAGAGCAGGCTTTCAAAGAAAGGGCAAACCCTGCATATAATCTTTGATAAAAACATGAGAGCTGTCAGCCTCCTCCTATTGAACGTGGCTAACACTTAATGTACTAATGCTAACCTCAGATATTAAGGTATTATGCATGCAGAAAATATGAAACCTATTTTCATTGCAGCCAATTACATTCTTTTCCCTATATTACCACTTCAACTCATTTTTCCTCATTGTTCTTTCAGGAATTATACTCTCAGTCCTATGATGCTGTTGGTGTGATGTTCGCTTCTATTCCTGGATTTGCTGACTTCTACTCCCAGACTGAGATGAATAACCAAGGAGTAGAATGTCTGCGCTTGCTGAATGAAATCATTGCAGACTTTGATGAGGTAATACCAGCTACTAGAGAAAATCTGATAGTGCTTAAATGATGAGTTCCCAGATGCCAAATATGTCATCCTAAATTATCAAATTTAATAACTGTTCTGCTTCCAATAATTGTCTGATTTTTTAACTCCAAATACAACTGTCTATTTCACTTTTTTGCACTTAGTTTTGCCAAACTTTGGTCTGAATGACCTAGTGAGATAGAGACCGAAATCAATAGTTACTTGAGTATAAACATGCATAAATAAAAGCACGATCTTCTCCAGTGTATCTAGAAGGAGAACACATGCCTTAGGTCTGTAGAAGAAAGAAGGATGAAAATATTTTCAACAGTTCTGGAAAGGAGTGGTCTAAATCCAAATAGATAAAGATGTTTGAAGACACTGGTTGAATGGACTCAATGGACGTTAAAGATAAAACAGTGTCAAATTAAATGTGAAGAAGCAAACGTTGGGTAGAAAATGAAAGGTGGTGACATATTAACTGAGGAGACCTGTCTGCTCAGGTATGTATGTTATACAGAGGTAAATGAAGTAAAGCTGCTTGCTTTACTGAGGAATTCAGAGGTGAAGGGAAATTAAAAAAAAAAAAAAAAAATAAAAAAAATTAAAGGACATAGAAAGAAAAAAGAATTTATTTATGTATCCTGTCCGGTTAATTTCAGAAAGAGGAGATAGCAGCCTTCCAGTACCTAATGGGGGCCTGCAGGAAAGATGGGGAGGGACTGTTTATCAGGGAGTGTAGTGACAGGACAAGGGGTAATGGGTTTAAGCTGAAGGAGGGTCGATTTAGATTAGATGTTAGAAAGAAATTCTTTACTGTGAGGGTGGTGAGGCACTGGAACAGGTTGCCCAGAGATGTTGTGGATGCCCCCTCCCTGGAAGTGTTCAAGGCCAGGTTGGATGGGGCTTTGGGCAACATGTTCTAGTAGAGGGTGTCCCTGCCCATGGCAGGGGGGTTGGAACTAGATGATATTTAAAGTCCCTTCCAACCCAAACCAGTCTGTGATGATGATGATTCTATAAGATAAACAGGAGAAGAAAAGTCAGATCCCCAATGTAACTATTGTCGGGTGTAAGCAAGGAAAACCTGGAAAGTGAAGAGGAAGTCAGGAGCAAGTTGCATACTTGGTATTGCATATTCTGCCAACAAGTTAATAAGGAAACTTAAACAGGTGGAATCATGTCCTGCAATGAGCCCAAGAGGAATTAAGAAAGGTGACAAAGGATAGATTGATGGAGAGCTTTGAAAAAACTTTAAAACTGGGAAGGGTGCAAAAGGCCAAAATTACTCAGCATGGAGAATTTTAAGCTATAGACTGCAAGCAGTTTTCAGGAGTATGTAGCCTTCCTGAGCTCCCCACGTGGTAGAAGTAGAATCTGAGCCATCTCTACGTAACAGTGAGATTGGATCTGTGTGCCAGACTGGAATGGTCCAGATAGAAAAGGGGAGGGGAAAGGAGGAGGTGGTGGTGGTATCGTTGGTCTGTGGCTCTGTTTTTGGAGAAGTTATTTAGAGGTAAAGTGGGAAATTGACATCCTTTTCAGAATTTTGATGAGCAAGGCAAGATTACTACTAAACTGGACAGCAGGGGAGAGGGCACATGGGTAGAAAGAAATCATTGAGAAACAGTAAAAAACCCAACCCAAGAAACCTGTGTTCTGTTTAACCTCTGCTTATCCCAAGGAATTTTTTAAATCGTTTCTGCATTGTGGAAGAGTGTCAACTGAAGAAGTGATGAGTGTCTTGGCAGCTTAAAATTAAGATGCAGTTCAAGAAAACAGAATTTGTTCCCTCAAAAGGAGCTGGATCTGGATCTCACATCCCACATGAGCTATGTAACCATGGAGCAATTGTCTAAAATGGAAAAGGGAAAAAAACCACTTAGGTTGGGGTTTGAAAAAAGAGAACATCTTTTACCACTTTGACTTTCAACTCAAAAAACATTATCAGAGTGAGAAAGATTGAATTTTTGAGAGAAGACAAGAAGGCATACTTAGTCTTTGCATCTGGACCAGTATTCTGCTCACAGACTGAGCATACGGAAAACTTTTTTCCAGAAAACTAAGGCTTTGACTGAGTTCAGACCTCTCCAGGGTTTAGAATACAACTCAATGAAGATTTGAGAATCAGTGTCTTTTTTATTTTTTAAATTTATTTAGTTTTACCTCAGTGCTCAGGTTTTGATTAGGTTTGGGTTTTTTTTGTTTTGAAGAGCAAGTATCTCCAAGGGCTTCAGAGGAAGGTTCTGGAGGAAAAGAGGAAAGTGGAAGGCATACAAATGAGAAAAAGAGATTAGGGGAAAAAAAAATTATTTTTCTTTTTTTTATTCCATCCTGAGCAGCAAGTACCTAAGGCCTCTCACAAGTTTTGAAGAATTTATTTTCAATTTGCTCCTCTGGTGGAAGTTATGTTGTCTTCATTTCATAATTGGAAAACAAAGGCACAAAGGGGTAATTTACTTTCCTGCATTTTTTTTTTTTTTTTAAACAAAGACACCTTTTCCCATGCCAGTAGCTAGAACCTAAATATGAACCCAGATCAGGGTCTTAACTGCACCTTGGTCCTGCTCATCCTGGGCATCTGTATGGGGAATGTATATAGAGTGGTAGCTCATAAAAACTGGACCACGGTTAAGATTACCAAACTCTGAGAGACAATGAGATTGAGAGTTTATCCATATAATTGGTCAGACACTAAAATTACTAGTGGGAAGTAGAAGAATTCACAGGGGATGTATTCCTGTGCAATTTTAGTAGAAAACAAAACTACTCTTCTATGAGAAGAGCTCTGTAACGAGCTAAGCTCCTGCACTGCTTTCCCTATAGGTATAAATACCTGCTTCTTATCCCTGAGATCTTGCACAGCTGTCAGCATGTTTCTTGATTTACAGTTTTGTTTTTCTTTCCGGATCTGATTAAAATTATTATGGCTCAAACTTAATGCAAAGCCTATTGCTATGAATTAATTTAAGTTATTTTGTCGTGCACGTTCATATAATCTCCATAAACAAAAATCCATTGCTGCTGTGGCGATTACTGAAGACAAGGTTTTCATCAAAAGCCCTAACACAATATTACATTCAGGCCCCTAACACCTGCTCTGTAATTAATAAAGGACCTAATTAGGGACTGTATTATGTCCCAGACATGTTTAGTTGAATAATAGATATGTTCTTGGTATGGGTAGTAAATGAAATTACGTGATCCCCTGCTGACTGCTAACCTACTTCCAGCATGGTCATGCCATTAGTTTATTCTGTCTAAGCAATCTGAAAGGTGATATGCCAGACAGAACAACTGAAGTGAGTAATCCTACCCATGGAAAAGGAACCAGAAGTCATTTCAGGTACAATGTTTCAGGGCCAGCAATATTTCCGTGTCATGACTGACACTACATGATGTCACTGTTCCTTGGTTTTCATTATATTTCTTGCCAAGATTGCCTGCTGTCTCACTAGAGCCCTGGAAACAAAATGCAGATGTGCAGCTTGAGAGCAGAGCAGATCTGTTAGCCATGGGAAAGCTTTGCTCCTCAGCATCACGTGAACACTTCTGTAGAGATACCTAAATGTAGAAGCCTTAGCACAGGAGAGTAAGACATTGGTACCTGGTGCCATTTGAGATATCCCAGGTGATTTGAGACACCAACATGGGATCATCAGGTCCCATACTGCACTGTCAGAAAACTCATGCTGTTCTGGAGCCAGCCATTGGAGGTTTTTCAGGGAAGTATGCTCTAGATGACACTAGACATCTATATTTAGACAAATGATTTGAGTTCCTAATCTCAAATCAAATTCTATACCATGAGTCCCCTCCTTTCCTTACATAGATATTAGTAGTAGGGATGCTGTGTCCATAGGGCCAGGAAGATGTTTCTGAACACGAATTGACCTGGTTTGGAAAATGTGATAAGTGCACAAGAAGATCTGGGTTATTTCTTCCTTCTTTTTAGAGGAGTTTCTTTGTTACTACAAAACAGAAGGCTTACAATCCAGATCTGTTATTTGGCTTTCCAGGTAACGGATCTACGTTAGAGAGTCAAAGTCAGTCAAACAAACAATAGTGAATGGTGGAACAGAACCTGCCACCAACAACTGCACAGGGTAGCAGCCCGCAGAGGAGTCAGGTCGTGACTGGTCTTTCTTAGGCAGCTGGGGAAACCTGGTCCAAAAGTCAGTTTTGGGGACTGTGTGATTGACTCTTATCAAATCATAGCCTTTACTCAGGATTTTTTGTTTCCCTTATGGCTCACAAATCTGTTGATTTCCAAATTATCCAGGCTTCCTGTCAACTGAAGCAGAATGGAAGGTGTTGATTTCTGGACTGACAAAATGAGATTTTTATTATTTTTTTAAAAATTGACGTATAGCATCATTATAGAATAGAGTTATATATAATTTCCTATTTTGTAACCAAGCACAGAGGTGCTGACAGGAGCAATTCATACATCAAAAAACAAACATGACCGTTGAAAATCTACTTTCGTAATTACCCATTTTTATATGATGACTGTAGTCTTAAGACATACGGGGCTAAACTCACATTCTTAGAGATGCTGCACTAAAAATAATATTGGAACAGTTCTCCTGAAATTGTGAGTCTTGAAGGATTTTTTTTTTCCTTGTAATATTCTTTCTAGCCTTTTTAATCTATCATCTATGTATCTTAGTGATGTTACAGTTGGGATTTGTGCTTTAATAAGAGATTTCTAGTTCATCGGCTCTTTCTCCCCCCCCATTTTCTTTATCCTGCAGTGATTTACATGGTGTTTATGACAACAGATTTGAATATATTATGCTGGTACAAACAGAGGTTTCGGCAGAACACAGGATCCTGCTTTCAGACTTTGCTGATTACTCTATGATTGTGTGCCATGTCCTGGAACATTCTCTTTTGTTACTACTTTGTACATGTTTCATTGCATGTGTATATCCCAGGGTCTGACCTCCATATAACCTTGGCTGTACATGAATTGCAGCATCAAGCCATTAGTTGTTTTTCAGATACCAACCACATTCTAGTGTTTGAAAATGTTCCCTGGACTATCTTGGTAGATTAGCAAGCCTGTTTAAAATGTCATAAAAAACAGCTGTTGATTTAGGAATGAGTTGGAATATCTCTCCCCAATATCAAAATCCATCATCCTACCATACTGTGAAGAAAGTAATTGGTAAATAAACCATTATGTGAAGAAGCAAAGAAGCTATCTAACAGACAGGATAAAGCAGGAAAAATAAAAAAAGAAATGTGGAAACAATAATGAATAAGAAGAAAAAAGATAACTTGAGATTATTCCTTGTAAATTGCCTCACAGCCAATGGGTTCTTTCTTTCTTAAAAAGAGTCATTTTAGATATTTATCATGCATTTTAAATTACTGTGCTGTTTGCTGTTGCTTCCAGCAACCATCTGGAAATGAAAATATAGGCTGTTTTTAACCAAGACCATTTTCTCCCCTTGCCCACACACCTGGTGCACTCAGACTGCTCACAAAAGCAGAGCTACAAGAAATGATCTTTTTCTTTAAGAGAGCAGTTGGAAGAGCTGCCCTTGTAAAAGGGAAATGTAGATAATGGGCTTTTCTGGCAGTTTGAAGAAAAATGAGAAGCAGGTCAAGTTTTTGGACTTTCCTGACTTGAAAGGGAGCCGTTAACTATACAGATTTGTATTCCCTGCGCGCAATGCTGTGCAGCCCCCCATTAGAGACAGATGGTGCGATATCTGTACGCGAACAGCAAAGCTTCCGAGACCCCAGCGCTCTGGCTGACGTACGCTGTGGTTAGTTCAATGGCAAGGGATATTTTATGTTACGCCTTTGGTATGTTTCTCCCTTTGAATGAAATAATCCCTTTAGTTTTTAATTGACAGGAAACTCAAACCCACAAGATGGAAAAAAAATGCATGACAGTGTATAAAAGGAGGGGAAATGCTTCATTAATTTTTTTGCCTGATCACAGCAAGAATCTTTTTCATTTAAATCCCAACTAAGTTGACTTTAGAACTGAAAGTTTGAAAATCCTTGTTTCTGTGAACTGTTTTACTTAATTTCCAGGACTGCCTAACTGTATTAATACCTAAATTTATTAGATACCGTACTACTTGTCATGAAGTTTCCTGGGATATTTTGGTATTAACATCAGCAATACACATTTTTAAAGCCTGTGATGAGGTGATATGTGCCCATATCCCACATAAAACTATTGTCATTGATGCAGTTCGCAGCCTGAACTCTGCTTAGATCTCTCAAGGAATGTAAGGCTCTGGCTTCTATTTCATGGAAAGTTCTAAGTTTAACTGTGAAGATGGACTTGGAATAGGGACTAAACTGTCACTCCCACTCCACTCAGTGCTTTAGTCACTAGACTAAATTTATTCTTCCTCTTGCAGATTCTCAATCTGACAAGTTCTTTATGCCTACTTGGCAAGTATTGGTATCCCAAATAGATACAGGTGTTTACCACTTCCCATCGATTCCCTGTATTTTTTGTAGAAGGGGAAAATACATAACAAAATTGCAAACTGAATGACCCAATGGACATACCAGTGTTAGGTCTGAGAGTAAATAGAGAGAAGCATGGGATACAGGAGGATTTGATAGCTCATAGAAGTTCTTTGGAGGCATCTACCTCCATCCATTGACTGTGTAAGATGGTTAAAATGGTTATTTTAATTGGGCTAAATTCTCTTTAACACTGGTCTCATCACCTGAAATGCTGCTGTAGCAGCACTTAATTTGTAAACTGAGCTCCCCCCAAAGAGATTTAGGAACACTTTTAAGTGACTAAGTCTTCTTATTTCCACACACACATACACAGAGAGTTTGTCTTCAATAATTTTCAGTGATTATACCTCAGGAAATGTAGGACTTGTCTGCATTTAAGTTAGGCTGGAAAATGCACGTGTTATATTATCCATTATCTGATTTACCAAACAGCTTTACAGAGCACAGCAGAATTTAGCTAGAATGCACGCTGTGAGTAGATGATGTTGCAAAGTCCTAGCTCAGTGTGCCCCAGAACCCAGAAGGAACTGTGCGCCAACTGGAAGATACCATGATGTAATGATTCATTTCGATATCTGTAGAAGAATTTTGCATAAAGAATTACAGAAGTAACAGTGCTTTTTTATATATGTATTAGTTACTAGGTGAAGAGAGATTTCAAGATATTGAAAAAATTAAAACGATTGGCAGCACATACATGGCCGTGTCAGGATTATCACCTGAAAAACAGGTAAGAAAATAGTTTTCTTTAAGAAGCAAAGCTTTTGGTGTGTCCAACCATTCATATTACAGAAGATTAGTGTCATCTTTCTGATGTTCATAGAGCTGTGTTTGCTAAAAGAAAATAGACATTTGCAGCTTCTGGCAGACAACAGTTGCACCTCTTGAGGAACTGAAATGTCATCTTGTGCTCAGAACAAAAACCATATGGATTTGTTCCTCAAATTTAGGTTTATAGGAGAGAAAAAAAAAAATCTCATTTCAGTCACACTGATGTGAATCTAGAGCAGGTCTGTCTATATCTGCAGACATACTCTAAAGTTACTGCTGTAACTCAGACTGGAATCTGGCTGACAGGCTCCAATAATCTATGAAGCAAGAGGATCTAGTAACTGACAGCATACTTATGCAAGTATAAGGTCGCATTTATACATTTTTTGTGATGATGTAGCTGTATATCTACCGACAATGTGATAAACTATACATCAGAAAGAAAGGAGACCCATCAGTTCAACTGAAGAACATCACAAAGCCAGAAGTCTGCACACCGCCCTCACTTCCAGAGGTGCAAACAAAGCTGAGGACACATACACAGTCACAGCCATAAACCTCAGAGAAGTCAAATGAGAGAAATCCATTCATAATTACATCCAAGAATATGCCTGGAAACTGGGTCTCCAAAGAAATAAGACAAGGCTCTAAAATACATCCAGCAAGAAGTTGGCTGTTGCTGAAATCTGTCTTGTTTGGCAACCAGTGTCTCTCCCCAAGGAAGAGCATCACAAAAAAGGGTGTGCTGCCCCGGATCAGCCACAGAGTGGGAATCAGATCTGCCCATGTTGATTACAATTATCAGGAAAGCAGAAGCCAGATTAGCATGAGCTTTATAAACTAGAAAATTTCCATTGTTTGTTTAGAATACATTATAAAACATATGGAGTGTAACTAGCTGAGCATGTCCCACCTACAGAGTAACAAGCGATGCTAACAGATAGAAATCCACAAAACTAGGCACGCATGAGATCTTTGTTTGTTCCAGCTCAAAATGCTTCTATGCAGACATGAACAAAGCAGGACTGAACAGCAGGGAGGTAGCTAGTTATAGTTACACAGATCATAATCACTTCTTTTGACTCTTGATGTGGGTAAAAATTCAAAGGGAGAAAATCTTTACTGCATTTCCAAGACTGATTAACTCATCCATTTTCTTGAATTGTAACAGCCTAATGGTATTTTTATATATGGTTTTAAATATACTTATCTTCATATATACATGTCTATCACATTGTCAGCATCTAAGAGGTGAGGGCTGCTGAGGAAGTTTGGTATGCTGTGAACTGAATGAGGCTGATGACAAGAACCGAGCATGGCGTGAACAGAACAGCGTGATGACAGGGAGATGCTTATGTTCAGGATTAAACACTGAAGATGATGAAAATTGCAAAGGGCTGGACTGCATGAACTAGAGGGGACGTTCCTATGGACTGGAAATTTGTTTAATGAAAGAGTTACCTGGCTTCCGAATAGATCAGGTGACATCATACTATTATTGGGCCAAAACACCAGCTGTTCCTTACTCCACTGCCACTCAGAGAAACAACTAAGGAGTTCCCCGTCCTCCCTTGAGACTCCCTGCCTCACCACCAGCTCTATTAGTGTTCGGGAAGACCAAAACCCACTCCTGGTCCCCATCTGTATATCGACTGCCCTGCAGGACCGGGAATGGAGGGGAAGGAGCAGGGAGCAACGTGACTGCTCTAAGCAGAGGCAATTAATGAGTTACAGAATAGCCTTTTCTCTCCCACTTAACCAGTCCTAGGTTGCCTGGCTTGCTCTGTTGTTCCTGTTGCTATTCCATCCCAGGGAGCACTGGTACTGGTGCTTTTCCTGGGTGACAGTTTCAGCAAAAGAGAACTATCTCTTTCACTTATTTGGCTCTACTTCTTGCTTATGTGGGTCATGCCTGGTTCTCACTGGTTTTTGTCCCTTGCACCTAAGCTATCTCAATCCTCTCTATACTTTCTTTCTCAGCCTTAGATAGATTTCACATGCCTTGCCAATTCCCATGACTGCCTGTCAGATTATTGATAGGAAATTACTGTCTTTGGTACTTCACACTAAGCTTCTCTGTATCCAGGTACAGAAGTGTTGTAATATAACTGGGAAGCATTACCATTAATAATACCCTACATCTTTTGGGTCTAGCATATTGAGACTGTTCTTACAAATTTCAAATTCAGATACTTGGCACTTGGTGGGGATGGGTAGGAGCTGGGCAAAGGCAAAACTTTTCTAACATATTGGTTTATAACTTGCTTCTCAGCAATGTGAAGACAAATGGGGGCATTTGTGTGCTCTGGCTGACTTCTCCATAGCTCTGAATGAAAGCATACAGGAGATCAACAAGCATTCATTTAACAACTTTGAACTCCGTATTGGTAAGCATAGTTCAAACATGAGAATTAAAATGGGGTTTTGTCTGCAAGGATTGGACTCTGTCAGTGCACCCCAGAAGCATTGCAAGGATGTGTACAATTTAAAAGACTCCAAATATGGTATCCTCTGTTTTCAACTTGACTTAATCCCAGGCAAAGTTAGAAATAAGAAACACTCTGTAGAATACGAGCCCTGATTAAGGGACTGCAGGAGTTCTAAGTTTTAGTGAATTGTGAATGCGTAGCATAATTAAGCTACTGTCTTTAACAAGTCTGGCCAAAAACCCATAGGTGTAACACGAAAAGCAAACCACGCCGTCCAGACCTAACTCCAAGCTTGACACTGGCTTGCACAGTCTCTAATTCATCTCCCTGTCTTAGATTCTTCTTCAGTAAAGGTGTAATAGTAGCTTATCCTAAACCCTGTGTGTATACTTTGGTTTTGCACAAAAATTGAATTCCAATTCTGACCTGACCTGTCCCAGTGGCAGCAGCTCTGAATTGCTGTGATGGGGAACCTTTCATCCCGGATGGGATATCATGGATGGCTAGTAGGATGTGACATGAAAAGATGGCCTGAATATATGGCACGTAGCAGGAGGAAATGTGATGGCTTCTCATGCTGCCTGGCCAAAACTAAAAACCACCTAGAAGAAACATGTCCTTTACAGGCTACCCTGCCACAAAAAAAGCTGAAGGGTATACATCAGTCACCACATGGAGGGTCGCAGCATTACTATGTGTGTTCTGCACTTCCTAACAGTTTTGAACAGAAAACTCCCAGTTCCCAAGATTTCTCAGGGAACTTGTATCTACTCTTAGTAAGTGTGGAGCACTTGCAAAGATTTCGTAGAGCATGAAAGTAACAATATTTGGAAACCATTTCTATCACCAATTTAAAAAAGTATTCTTTAAAAATAATCTAAAAAACTGAGATCCTTTTCCTAAAGATGTGCCTTTCACTATCATTAAATTTATTCTTAAATCACTGCTGTAGAAAAAATAGTCTCTTGTATATTATTGCTTGCCTTGAATTTATGCAACAAAATCTTACAAGATACAGTCTTTCAATAACTTCGTAGAATACTTTAATATTTTTCACTTCATGGAACATAAGAATGTAATTTCTTGACTGTATAGCCGTAACATTGTTGCCTTCAACAAGTGTAGACCCAGAAAGATCCTTCCAGAGAGATCTTTCCTACTACATAAGAATCAGTTTGCAGGAGCTTTGGCAATAGTGTGCAGAATACAGATGATATATAAGTATTGTCGTTCCACTGAGATGGTTGTCTGTAAAATAACTCTGCGGATATCACTTTTCATTTTTTCTAGCTTTTCTGCCTTTTTTTTTCTTACTTTCTTTTTATATACACCTCTTCCTTAAGCTTAGAGATAAGTGTATCTGAACCAGACTTCATCTAGTTCTTAAGTGCAAATATAGTTTTCGGCCATTCTTGTCTAACTGGCTATCTCTTCTCATTTTTTTATTTTTTTATTTTTTTTTTTTAATAGGGATTAGCCATGGCTCTGTCGTAGCGGGAGTTATCGGTGCTAAGAAACCCCAATATGATATCTGGGGCAAAACGGTTAATTTAGCAAGTCGAATGGACAGCACAGGTGTTAGTGACAGAATACAAGTGCCTGAAGAAACGTATCTGATCCTGAAGGAGCGGGGATTTGCCTTCGACTACCGAGGAGAGATTTATGTCAAAGGTATCAGTGAACAGGAAGGAAAAATCAAAACATATTTTCTTCTAGGAAGAGTTCAACCAAATCCTTTAATTCTACAACCAAGAAAACTGACTGGACAGTATTCATTAGCAGCTGTTGTATTAGGACTTGTACAGTCTCTTAACAGGCAAAAACAGAAGCAAATCCTTAATGAGAACAATAACTCTGGAATCATAAAAGGACATTATAACCGGAGGACTTTGCTCACTCCCGGTGGATCTGAGGCAGCAGCCCAGGCAGAGGGGGCTGACAAAACTGAGTTGCCATAATCAGCATTTTGTTTGTGTTCTTTTTTTTGTATTTCTTTTATATATAAAAATAAATATACAAATAAAAAGGGTTTAATTTTTTTTAGAAGAAGTGTGATTATTTTCTGGTGTGGTATTTTGATGAGATTCAGGTTCCTACATTTTAACAAATGGTGCCAGCATCTCCCCCCCCCAGCTGTGATTAAACTCTGAACTACGTCTCCAGACATAGTAGCTGTAAGCCACCATTCTGCTGTGCCAGCTACCTGCAGAAAAGGGTAAGAATAAACCTCTGACTGGAGGGATTTAGAACACAAATTGTGTAGGGAGTTAATGGTGGGGGAAAAGAGGGAATATTGTCTACGCTTTTCAGGTGAAAGCAAAGGCATAAAGAGATTGAGTAGGTTCTTCTCCCCTTTAGGTGCCTTCAAGTAGAATTATACACATCTAAGCTAGTTGCCTGGTCTCCATAACAGCCAGGGAGAAGCTAGTCAATACAGCCAAAAGAATTTAAGGTGTGCTGTCTGCCAAGATGTGAGGATCTGAGATATAGAAGAGATGGACCTTGCCCTAAACCCACTGATTCCATTGAGTCCACTGGCTTTGGGCTCTTAAAATAGCCTAAGATGTCCCCCTCACAAGCGAGTGATTGCACTGTAGACAGATAAATTGCATGTTAGTATCCACCTGACCTCTTGCACTCAAGCCGGAACATCATGGCTTTCCTGTAGGCACTATGTCATATCTGTCAGTCCCGTTTGGAGGGCTCAAACACACTGTGATATCTTATCCGGCACAAGACACCTATGAACAGACGACAGAGTTACATCTTGAATGACATGTCTGGAGCCTACAGCTGGGTCTATTGTCCAGTCAAGGAACTAATCCAATTCTCTGGAGTCACTTCCCAGAGCTTAGCTCTTAATCCCATCACCAGTGTGAGTTCTCACCAAAACAAGGGTTGTCTGAGGCTGGAAAACAAGTACGTACTGAAGTACAGTAGGAGATAAAGCTCACCGCCAAACTCCTGCTCAGTTGCCTCAAGAGGAGGAAAGGCCAAGACTCAGGATACTCCAAATTATTTGCGTGCCAGCACAGAGACATTCCT